GAGGAGAAGGCTGGAGGCAGTGGAGATGTCATGTCTGAGGGCAATGTGTGGTGTGAATATAATGCAGAGAATTCGTAGTTTGGAAGTTAGGAGGAGGTGCGGGATTACCAAAACTGTTGTCCAGAGGGCTGAGGAAGGGTTGTTGAGGTGGTTCGGACATGTAGAGAGAATGGAGCGAAACAGAATGACTTCAAGAGTGTATCAGTCTGTAGTGGAAGGAAGGCGGGGTAGGGGTCGGCCTAGGAAGGGTTGGAGGGAGGGGGTAAGGGGGTTTTGTGTGCGAGGGGCTTGGACTTCCAGCAGGCATGCGTGAGCGTGTTTGATAGGAGTGAATGGAGACAAATGGTTTTTAATACTTGACGTGCTGTTGGAGTGTGAGCAAAGTAACATTTATGAAGGGATTCAGGGAAACTGGCAGGCCGGACTTGAGTCCTGGAGATGGGAAGTACAGTGCCTGCACTCTGAAGGAGGGGTGTTAATGTTGCAGTTTAAAAACTGTAGTGTAAAGCACCCTTCTGGCAAGACAGTGATGGAGTGAATGATGGTGAAAGTTTTTCTTTTTCGGGCCACCCTGCCTTGGTGGGAATCGGCCAGTGTGATAATAATAAAAAATAATATACTGGAGCATCCAGCCAGTGCTGTATGACCCTTATGGGTTTAGCACTTAGTTCTGATTATAATGGAGTATCCAGCAGGCTTCTATGAGAGTGGACAGGAGTGAATGGAGGCAAGTGGTGTTTTGATGGATGTGCTGTTGGAGTGTGCAAGGTAATTTTTCTGAAGGGATTCAAGGAGACTGGTTAGCTGGACTCGAGTCCTGGAGATGGAAAATACTATGTTGCATGCACCGGAGGAGGGATGAGGATGTTGTCCTCCTGGAGCAGGGAAGTACAATCCCTGCAGTCTCAAGGATGGGGTCCTTCAGTTGAGGTTTCTTGAAGCCAGTTAGGGGCTTTTGATCCAAGGAATTGGACCTGTGCCCCCCCCCTTGAATCAAACCTGAATGCTTTCCATTTCCTCTAGGTGCTGTATGACCCCCATGGGTCTAATGCTCCTTCATGAATATAGCAGAGGAATGTTGCAGTCCTGGAGGTTAGAGCACTGTGTGCCAGAACCCTGAAGGAGGGTGGGGATGCTGTAGTCCTGAAGGTGGGAAGTATAGTGTGCCTGCACTGTGAGGGAGGGGTGAGGATGTCAGTTCTGGAAATAGGAAGTATAGTGCCTACACTATAAAGGAGTGGCAAGGATGTCAGTTCTGAAGACGGTAGGTATAGTGCCTGCGCTATGAAGGAGGGGTAAGGATGTGGCAGTCTTGGAGGTGGGAAGTACAGTGCCTGCACTATGGAGGAGGGGTGGGAATGTTCAGAGGGTCATCTGAACTGGAATATCAGCGCAAGTTTAGCAGGAGAGCGACAATGAATGATGGCGAATATTTCCTTTGGGGTTACCCTAGCCTAGCAGGAGACTGCCGTTGAGGGACTCGATGTAAGGAACTAGCAAAAATGAAGAACTTGTTTTCTGTTGGGTCCCTGGTCATGGTGATGTTCAGGGCAAGGAGCAGGTAGACTGCTCTGCAATCTGCAGTACATGACCTACCAGTTTATATAAGGTACATTCCATACTCTGACTGTTTTGCTGTAATATCTACCCACCTTTGCAACTGTTAGCAATAACATTGGTCTGATATGACTCAAAACAAATTACATTCTATCAAATCAAGTTTAGGTTTCTGACCTCCTTGTCATCGATACCGAGGTTGGGAGACAACACTCTCCTCTTCGCATTGGACACACTCGCCTAATTCATGGGTATCTCGTGGAGAGGCGTACTGTTCCATTTTTGTGAGAATTATCTAGTTCCTGTTTCAATTTCCCATATTCTATTGGACTATTCTGTCTATCAACAAAGCTGTATAGTCCTTGTGGCTTAGCGCTTCTATTTTGATTATAATAATAATCTGTCTATCAACGAGCACGCAAAATTTTCCTCCAATGGCTTCACCGCTCTAACACCCTTACTTTATTTTCCCTCCTTGCTGACAGACCAACCTTTGACACACTCCCTCTTTGACTTTTTGACAGCAACTGATTTATTACACAAACTTTGATAATCCTTCCTTTAGCACTCCTGACAGCCCCTCCTAACTTTACCTTTATTGTCATCTCCACCCTTATTTATCCTTAGATCCTGCATCAACTCTTACCCTGCAGCACTGTATGACCCTGGTAGGTTTAGTGCTTCCTTTTGATTATAATAATGATAATGTACCTACTCTTGCCTTCCTTGGATCCAACCTGATTGTCTCCCATTCCCTGCCAGGTGCTATATGACCTCTACAGGTTTAGTGCTCACCATGAATGTACTACTAATATTAATACTGTTATCATTATTACTATTGTTACTATTACTACTAATGCTGCTACTAATTACTACCCATTAATAATACTATTACAATTACTGCTATTTGATGTATGACCCTTGTGGGTTTACCTCTTAGTTTTGATTATAATAATAATAATGACTAGTAATAATTACTAGTTTTGGAAGGTTAGCACTGTTGACCCTTGCAGTTTAGCACTTCCTTTTTATAATAATAATGACCCTTGTGGGTTTAGTGCTTAATTATGAATAATATAATTATTTGGAAGGTTAGAATCATGACAGATGATAATAGAAGTTCTATGATCTCGACAATTAATTCCATGGTCAGTTTAGCACATATTTTTTGGTAATAATAATAATAATAATAATAACTTGATTATAATAATTCATTGGTCAAAATAGGCCATTGACTCAGTTCTCACGAGGACACTAGAGAGTTACAAGAGAATCTGAATAGACTGATGTAGTTGTCGAAGTGGCAGATGCAATTTAAACCAACACAAAGTTCTGGGCATTGGGAAGCGTTTTTTTTGATTATAATAATAATAACAGGCATTGGGAAGGAAAATAACCAGGCAGTTATAAACTAAATAATGTAGATCTTGATCACTCTGCAAAAAAAAAAAAATTAGAATTCTGGTTAGCAGTAATTTAAAAACATGAGAACCCCTTAAGGGAGGTTCCTTGACGCTGGTTAGGGGCTCTTGATCTAGGGAATTGGATCTGTGCTCTTATTCCTTGAATTAAGCCTGATTATCTTCCATCCCTTCCCTCCACATGCGCCGTATAATCCTACGGGTTTAGCGCTCCCCATGATTATAATAACAAAAATGGGAGAACACTGCAGCAGGCCTACTGGCTCATACAAGGCAAGTCCCTCTCAAAACCAACTATTCCCACCCACCGGGCAGAAATGGTTTTGTGAAAAATTCCATTTATCTGAATGTAACTAATTATGTACATAACAGTAAATGATAACAAAGATAATTATTATTTATCAATGTTACATAGACAAGTAGGAATTTGGGACACCTAGGTCGCAAAAAATGTCCCCCTTCGATACCTACCACTGTCATAACCACAAGTTACTCTGGACCTATTAATTAAATGAAATATACATACACCAGGAATACTGGTAAATATATAAATTTGTGGACTGTATTTTAAAAAAATAATAAATGGTTATATTTATACACAATTACATAACAGAAGGGAAAATATATCTTAATATCACTCACCAATTTGACTGGAGTTTTAATGTGTATCATACTCAGAAAACCTCAACTCTAACTAAATCTATGAAAATAATGCTAGCCAGAATTACACACAAATCTAGAGAGCCTTATCTGAGGTTCCTGGGCTGTCTTGTCCAGTCGTTGATATCTCAAGTTATGCAGGAATGCACAACCACCAATTTCGCCTCCTATTTGAGAGGTGTCAACACAATTTTAACCTCTAGAGCACGAAAAATTCTTCCCATTACACCAACGTTTGTACAAAATTCAAAACCAAGATGGCGAGCGTCTCCTGCCCAGACGCAGGCTTTCTGTTTTCTATAACAAATATTATTAAATACAGTATAGGCCATCTATTTACCTATAAATTACCGTATTTCCGGAAAATATATACAGTATTTTCCACAGGTTTTTTATATAATGTATATATATATTACTGTGGACTAACTCCATTCAGGCTAGATGATTTAGGCTGGATGTAACTCCATTCAGGGTAGATGTAGTTACATTCAGGCTGGATGTAGCTACATTCAGGCTAGATGTAACTACATTCAGGCTGGATGTAACTACATTCAGGCGGGAAATGTAGCTACATTTCAGGTGGATGTAGCTACATCAGGCTGGATGAAAATACATTCAGGTGGATGTAACTACATTCAGGCTGGATGTAACTACATTCAGGCTGGATGTAACAAACATTCGGGGCTAGATGTAATACATTCAGGTGGATGTAAACTTAATTCAGGCTAGATGTAACTACATTCAGGCTGGATGTAACTACATTCAGGCTAGATGTAACTACATTCAGGCTGGATGTAACTACATTCAGGCTAGATGTAACTACATTCAGGCTGGATGTAACTACATTCAGGCTAGATGAAAACTACATTCAGGCTAGATGTAACTACATTCAGGCTGGATGTAACTACATTTAGGCTAGATGTAACTAGTGTCCCGTAGCTGGGTTGGTAGTGCTCTAAACTTGCACGTTGATGCCCATGGTTCGATATCCGGTACGGGGATCTTCACATATTTCATCTTAAGAACATCCCACCCTGCAGCGCTGTATAACCCTTGTGAGTTTAGAGCTTAGTTTTGCTAGTAATAATAATAATTACCATAATACGCGGCTTTCCAGTATTTTATTATAGTTTGTCCTCAAATTTTTAATTTTCATTTTCTCTAACTCATTTTTATGCAGTAATAAAAGTCAACTAAAAACTAAAATAATAATACATCACGTAGTTTTATGTGACATAGTAAATTATTCTCAATCAGAGATTTTTTTAGGCTGTTGTTAATTACTAAATCATCTACGTAAATGACCCCAGTTAAGATAATAATTATTTTCTGTTTGAAATTAAGTTTTCACTTGACTGTTGTGGTTGACAGACCAACAATGGAGGTGATTTGAAAACTTATTTGACTTTCGTGACTCATTTATACGCCTTTTTTTGGTAAGTATAGGCGTTTTTAATTATAGTTTCTGCCCTTATGCTGAGCAGATGACTTTATTGTGTAGTTGGTGAGTTTTTTTTTAGTTATTAATGTGGAATTATGGTTATTATAGACATTTAACCTCTCCAGGGAGGTTCTTTGAAACTGGTGAGGGGCTCTTGATCCAGGGAATTAGATCTCTGCCCCGGTTCTCTGAATTAAGCCTGAATGCCTTCCATCCCCCCACATGGGCTGTATAACCCTACGGGTTTAGCGCCCCCCATTATTATAGCCATTTAGGCCTCGGGGGAGAGGTGCCTTGATACCAGGAAGGCTCTTGATCCAAGGAATTTTACCCGATTTCCCTTTCCTTGGAGCGACCCTCATTGCCTCTCATACACCCCAGGCGCCTGCATAACCCCTAAGGGTCTAGCGCTTCGCCCCTTGAAATAAATGGGAATTTTAATTTTTTTTTACCAGTCGTGACCCTTAGTAATTTTATCAGTTATTATAAATAAAAACTTATTATTATGCTAACTTAAACGTATTGATAAATTGTAAAGATATAACCCAAGAAAGTCAAAGATTTATTGTGGCTAAGTAAGTTTATTTAGGTACAGGTACATAGTTACAGAATTTATTATACATAATAATATGTGTAGATTATGTAGGATAAACCTAAAAAAAGTCAAAGTGACTTATTTCCATTGGGATCCTTGTAATATTTTATTATTTTAACCTTAAAAGTTAAAACAGCTAAGTAAGTCAACTATGTGAAAAGCATTAAACAGTAAAGGAGATAAGTAAGTTTATTCAGGTATATATAATTACACAGAATATCATACATATGTGTAGGAACGTAGGATAACCCAGAAAAGTCAAAGTGACTTATTTCGACTGGGGTCCTCGTGATAATTATTTAAAAGTTAAAAACGGGTATCTTAACTATGTAAAAGCAGATACAATAAAAGAAGATATACTGTACTAGGGGAGAGATAAAATTAGTTATTTTCATAAAAGAAATCACTCTCCCTTTCTGTACCCCTCAAGGAAGGTTCCTTGATGTTGGTGAGGGGCTCTTGATCTAGGGAATTGGTTCTGTGTTCCAGTTCCCTGAATTAAGCCTGAATACCTTCCATCCCCCTCTCCCCCACAGGTGCTGTATAATCCCTACGGGTTTAGTGCTCCCCCACGATTGTAATAATAATCCCTTTCTGTAGCCTTATTCATAAGGTACTTTTTGGTGTCTTCTTGAACTGGCTCGTGCTATGACTGGCTTTGACATGTACTGGCAGTTTATTCCACTTCTTTACAGTACAGAAAAATGTCGCTGAAGCCTGACTGCTGACTTTAAGTACGGCAAAGTTATTCTCCCTTCCCCTAGTTCTGTAATTACATTGGTTCCCGGCCATAACAAAATTGGCAGTAAGATATTGGGGGACACTGGTTGTGAGCAATTTTATAAATGTAATTTAGCTTTAGTTCTGTACTCTGTCTTCAACATTCAGCATGTCCAGTTGTTGTAATTCATCCTGGCCTACATACTCTCCTGGACTCAGCTCCAAAATGAATCTCACCATTTTGTTCTGGGTGATTTGTAGCCTATCTTTTAGTTTTTTTTTGTTAAGGCAGAGTACCATGAACAGCAAGAGTCGTCTATAATACATTGTATCAGAGCTAGACACAGGGTCCTGAGAGCCTCAGTTGGTAGACACTGTGCCTGTCTGTATAGGAATTTTAGTCTGGTATTACTTTCTCATTACACTGTTTCATATCAATTCTTCTGACATGCATGAGTCAGATTGGATTCCCTGATATTTCACTGAAGACACTGAAGTGATAGTTCCCCATTACATAGGACATCAAAATTATTTACCCTCTTAATTTATTTTTCGTGCCGCAGAGTATGGCTTCCGTTTTCCTGAAGTGTAATGATAATTTGTTGTCTAACCATTTACTGCAGGACTCATGTTCTAGTGATAGTACATTAACTATATCTTATGGGTCTTGTTTTACTGTAATAACTGTATGATCTTTGAGGGTTTAGTTCTTAGTTCTGATTGTAATAATAATTTACTACATATACATGTATTAAATTGAGGCATATGCATGTTACCTTAGTAAGTAAGAGTATTTAGGTACAGGTACACATAAGTAGTGTTATACATAGTTTAACGTGTGTAAATTACTTACGATAACCCCAAAAATCTGACAGTAACTTATTTCCATTATGGTCCTTGATGAGTAAACTAATGTTTTTTACAGGAACAATGGCGGAGCCATGTGCGGAGCCCATTATTAAGCGCATTAGACACTTGAGCTCTCTGGTGAGCAGCTCTGGCCTTGATGTGGACCAAGGTTCGAGCCTGTTGTCCCGACACCTCATTGGACAAGAGTGGCTGCTGGATGCTCTCCTGGTGTTGTATGATGAGTGTAACAATGATTTCCTGAAGAAGGAAAAGTTTATTGCTGACTTTGTTGACAAATGTAAGAAGTTAATTTTTAGTGGAATAGATCTGATTTGTTTCTGTATTGATGCTAAATTTATAGATGATTTTATAAATTAATGTTTTAGTTTTAATAGTTGTGTTAGGGACAAAACTGTTACATAGGCATAAAGTAGTGACAAGTGATTATCATACATCTTGCAACACAAAAAACATCAAATAAAATGTTTATTTTTATTATTAGCTTTCTTTGCTAAAAACAATTCTGTCTATAGTTTAAATTGCAGGTTTTCTTGAGGACATGTTATTGTAGTAATTTATTTACCTAACAGTTTGTTTAAAGGTTGCAAAGATTATTTTTTAAATATGTACAGTATTTCCATGTATTTTTTATTTTTTTTAATTTTAATTTTTTTTTTACTAGTCGTGACCCTTAATAATTTTATCAGTTATTATAAATAGACTTATTATTATGCTAAAATAAACGTGATGATAAATTGCAAAGATATAACCCAAGAAAGCCAAAGATTTATTGTGGCTAAGTAAGTTTATTTAGGTACTGTACATAGTTACAGAATTTATTATACATAGTAATATGTGTAGATTTTGTAGGATAAACCCCAAAAAAGTTAAAGTGACTTACTTCCATTGGGAGCCTTGTAATATTTTATTATTTAAATCTTAAAGGTTAAAACAGCTAAGTAAGTCAACTATGTGAAAAGCATTAAACAGTAAAGGAGATAAGTAAGTTTATTCAGGTATACATAATTACACAGAATAATAAAATAAATGACTAGTAGAATAAGATAAATAGGTTTGCAGGATATTTCACATTTTATTTCTGTTTATAATCTTCAAAGGTATAATAGATGAATGAAGTATGTATGCACTACTTAGGTTATCTAATACAACAATAATGCTTGCTTAACCTATTTACCTGACCACCCGTGATGCCATCTCTAAACTGCTTAACTTCTCCTGTCTCTGGTATACGAGTCTCCGTCCTTCGGCATTCACTATAAATTCATTAAGTCTGATTGACTGAACACCACCTATCAAGATTGAGCGACTGATCACCTCAGACTTCTTCACATCTTCCATATCTCTAGTAATTAATCTCTGTATTGGATTGATAGTCCTGAAACTTCACCGTAATAAAGATGCCCAAGTGTTGCACGTGTCTCATTAGTATTTGTCAGTGTTGTATACTGAATTGCATTTGCATACATGTGATTTTTGTGCCTAACAATGTATTATTACATGTAAACAACAATATCTTCGTACTCCATATAAAGAAATAAAAATTTGGATTTGAATTAATTTTAATAATTTTTTTTTTTATAATTTTGAGCCTCATATTGTTAGTATTGCTGCATTTATTCCTTTTCTGCAGTCTGTATGAAATGTAAAACGAGTAGAGTGAAAAATTCTGCAAGGTATATTTTTTCTATTACCAGCTGAGTGTACAGGGAATTGCGCTTCCGCCCTGTCTCAACTCTTATGTGACCGATATGACTGAGCTATGTTGTATCTGTTTTAAGAGTTTCTTTTCAAAATTTAAAGATATGTATTTGCATCTCTGCTTAAATGTAGTGTGTCAGAAAAAACCACAGTACTAATGAAGGTGGTTTTGTTAGAGATCCCTTCAAGAAACTCAGGCGAGTATTTATGATGGTAATGGTATATGTTGAGCATTGTTTTTTTTGTTGTATTAAAATCAGGTTTTAAAACCCACTGATAACATGTGATTTATTTTTTGTTTAAATATATATACGGGTATGTTTCTGTAACAAATAAATGAAAGAAAAGTATGTTTTTAATCTTAATTTTTTTACCTTCCTCAGATCGTAGCACTATTCATGAGGTGCGGAAACTGCGAGTTAATCTTAATGATTTTGAACAAAAGAAAGTAATTGGTAAAGGTCACTTTGGTGTTGTACAGTTAGTTAGGGAGAAAGCAACAGGCAATGTCTTTGCATGAAGAGCCTCAGGAAGTCTGATATTTTATCACAAAAAACATGTAAGTGCATAAACATTTTTCATTTTGTTTTTTATGTTAACCATTAAGAGGAATTTGCCAGTAGTTATGTTTGGTTTGTGCTACAGTAATGTTTTGTACATCATACTTAGATATAATCCAATCAGATTTTTTTAGTGTCACTTCCATGAGGAGAGTTAAACAGCTGTAACAAATGCAATATAATTAACTGGAAATGGGGAACATTGACTTTAATATGTACAGCCTCTCCTCACGTAGCTACGTACTCGTTTACCGACGACTCAGACTTACGATGGGGTCTCTTGACCTATATTCATATCTAAATCATGTATATTAGAGCTGATTTCCTCTATTCTGTTTATTACAATTTTACAGTACACTACTGTATAAAGATGTTAAAATATACATGTACTAAAAAAAATGTAAATGGTGCATGGGTGGCATTTAAAGCAGTATCAAAGATGGTTGACATAAACCCCCTACCCATTAGAGTATGCTCCTTGTTTAGCGATGAATTTGTTTACCAACACAATATTAGGAACGGAAATCTGTCATTAAGTGTGGGAAGCTGAAATATATTGTAAAGTAAAAAGATTACTATGAATTGTAAATAGATGACATAAAGATGGTAAACTGGTGTGTTGAAGTGTTTTGGAATTAAAGTTTATCCTTCCAATTGAGCCACCATTTTTTAAACTTCTTTCTTATTCTCCCAATAGCACTGTCATCCACCCAAAAAGCAACTGTGATAATTCTCACTAATCAGTTCCCTTAAAATTTCATAATATCTTTCGAGATATAGTGTGAATATTTCTTGTATTTTGTTTTCAGGTTGCATTTTATGAGGAGGAAAGAGATATTATGGCCCAAAGGGATCCTACCCTGGATCACACAGTTACAATATGCCTTCCAGGTAAATACCCAAAGGTTTTTTTTTTTTCACGTAGATGGCCTTCACATCCTATAGGATATTTTCATTATATGTATATTTTGACAGACAAATAACCCACACCTAGAAGAAAGAAATTTATGATGCTTTGATCTGACTTGTAGCATTAATAGCTACACTAGTTAGTGGTACAAGTTACATGATGACCACAGCTCCATCTGCATGCCATCATATAACTAAGACCTTGCATTAGGAACACTTGCCCTCTTTCCTGTAAAACTTTTTCCTGCCTAGGCATCTTAATGTTTTTCATTAGAATGTGGTCAGTTGGGGTTGGGGACTCTAAACTAATGTGTATCTTTCTGTGTTTTATAGGATGACCAACAGTTGTATTTTGTGATGGAGTTTCACCAGGGGGTGACTTGTTGTCCCTGCTGGATCGTTGCGAGGGGTTTGTTCTCTGAGGAAATGGCCCGCTTTTACCTTGCAGAAATAATTTTAGCAGTTCATGATTTACACTCCATGGGCTATGTTCATAGGTAAGAAAAGATGCATGATGTTACACTAAGCTGTGAAAAAAGACACTTATGTACAATTCAGGACATTTATTTGAGGAGATGTTTTGCCCCATAAAATTGTGTACAGTTCAAGACAGCAACTCAGTGAATGATAGTGAATAGATTTCTTTTTAGGGTCATCCTACTTTGGTGGGAAAAGGTAATCAGGTTAAAAGTCTAATTTTAGTGATGTGGAAAAAGACACGTGTCGTTTTCCACATCACTAAGTCTATTCCCCTATTGTTCACTCAGTTGCTCTTTCCAGAAGTTCACTGACGTCACAAATTTAAAACGACCTTCTGAACTTCAACATTGCCAACCCTACTTCAGAATGCAGGCACTGTGCTATTCTGGATTGGAATTCAATAGCTCACCCTATTGTATTCCAATCTGGCTAACTAGTTTTCCTGAATTCCCTTTATAAATGTTGCCTTGCTCACACTCCAACAGCATTCACTCATATATAACAAAGCTTGCACAATCCTTTTAGATGCCCCGTCCTCTAGCACGCAAAGTTTCCTTTTACTCCCTTCCTCCAACCTTTCCAGGTGACCCCTACCCTCCTTCCCCAAAATCCAGTTATATATGTTGTAGTCATCCCATTTTTGCAATCTTTGTCTAATAACCTGAACAGTGCCTCCTCATCCCTCTGAATAATACTTTTGCTAACTCCACACTTCCTCCTAATCTCCAGTTTTCAAATTCTGTGTTTAATATTCTCACTACACATTGCCCTCAAACACGACATCTCTTCTGCCTCCAGCCTCCTTGTTGAACATTCAAAAACACATGCTTCACACCCATGTAACTTATCAAATTTTTGATAGCAGTTTTGAAAGTACAGTAGTTCAGAAGTTACTCGTGCAGGGAGTTGTTTAAATAACCCATGCAGTTTGGTGACCATTAATGCTTGCATCACACCAAAAAATTCAAATAAGATTACATGAGTTAAAAGAAGCAGGAAAACTGAGGTAGGATCATAATTTAACTTCAAAATATCAAGTCAGACACAAAACTGTTTAATGGATTAGCAATCTTTCAGCCAAGAGAGGTAAACAGCTTGAAACAAAGATTACCATTAACTAAATAACAGTTGGCATAAAAACTAATAAGCATATTTTGTATACAGTAATTTTATTTAATTAATCTGGCATCACCAAGCTATCTTACTCTGAGGAAACTTTTCTTCAGTCCACCTGTTGCTGCTCTTGCAACATTGCATAGCTCCTGATGACACACAGATGTGTAAAAGATCTTGAGCTGAAGATTTCCATCCCCTGTGGCTTGTCTTGCACTGGAACATTTATTGATTTTTTTTCTTATAAGATTTTGCTTTTAGACATTTAGTTTAGTACTGCACTATAAAAGAAACCATTCCTAAGGTATTTAGGTATCCCTGAAGGGAGACCATTAAGTGTTTGCTTTACATATAACTTAAAATGTTACATTTTATTGTACATATTACCAAAGGGAAAAAAGGTGAGTGGTGCGTTGAGGTATATGTGGAGTCAAAAAACGTTATCTATGGAGGCAAAGAAGGGAATGTATGAAAGTATAGTAGTACCAACACTCTTATATGGGTGTGAAGCTTGGGTGGTAAATGCAGCAGCGAGGAGACAGTTGGAGGCAGTGGAGATGTCCTGTCTAAGGGCAATGTGTGGTGTAAATATTATGCAGAAAATTCGGAGTGTGGAAATTAGGAGGTGTGGAGTTCATAAAAGTATTAGTCAGAGGGCTGAAGAGGGGTTGTTGAGGTGGTTTGGTCATTTAGAGATGAATGGATCAAAGTAGAGTGACATGGAGAGATTTAAATCAGTAGGATGAAGGAAGACGGGGTAGGGGTTTGTCCTCGAAAAGGTTGGAGGAAGGGGGTTTAAAGGGGGGTTTTATGGGCAAGGGGGTTGGACTTCCAGAGGCGTGCCATGAGCGTGTTCGATAGGAGTGAATGGAGATGAATGGTATTTGGGACCCGACGATCTGTTGGAGTGTGAGGGAGGGTAATATTTGTGAAGGGAATTCAGGGAAACCAGTTATTTTTATATAGCTGGACTTGAGTCCCGGAAATGGGAAGTATAGTGTTGCCTGCACTCTAAAGGAGGGGTTCGGATATTGGCAGTTTGGAGGGATATGTTGTGTATCTTTATACGTATATGCTTCTAAACTGTTGTATTCTGAGCACCTCTGCAAAAACAGTGATTATGTGTGAGTGTGGTGAAAGTGTTGAATGATGATGAAAGTATTTTCTTTTTGGGGATTTTCTTTCTTTTTTGGGTCACCCTGCCTCGGTGGGAGACTGCCGACTTGATAAAAAAAAAAATTACCAAAGGGGTAATGGAACATTATACCAGCCTCATATGTTTTTATATCTTGTTAAAATTCTCATATAGTGTTTAATTTATATCTCTAGGGACATCAAGCCTGACAACATTCTTATTGACCGCTGTGGACACATCAAGCTGGCAGACTTTGGTTCAGCTGCAAAGCTTTCATCCAGTGGTGTTGTTCGCAGCAAAATGCCAGTGGGAACGTCCTGACTATATTGCCCCAGAAGTTCTCCAGTCGGTTAAATGAAACGGCTGGAAATACATCATATGGGGTAAGGAAACTTAATGTATACAATATGTATACGTGTATCACACTGTAAAGTCTGCACGAGAAGTTTACGTTAACTTGCAAAGCAAATTCTGAAACTAAGTCATTGTGCTAGCTATAATATTTTGCATGATCATTTTCACCCCTCATGATAAAAACTTCTCACAATGCAGCAGCACTAAGCTGTTTTCAAAGTTCCGTTGTGAAGATGTAAATACATACGTATATGATCTTTTGTCACCCTGCCTCGGTGGGAGACGACCGACTTGTTGAAAAAAAAAAAAAAATTATCTTTATTAACAACACTTAGCAATTTTTATTTTAACTTTACATGTTATTTGAAAGCCATAGTATTGTTTTCTAGTGACACTGGAAAAATGTGAAATTGATAATGTGTGTGTTACTGTGTAAAGACTTTATAATAAGGTTATTTTTTTATAGATTGAATGTGATATGTGGTCACTGGGAATAATGGCATTTGAAATGTGCTATGGACGAATGCCATTTAAGGGCGACAAACTTGGCTCTACCTACAGCAACATCATGAACCATAAAGTAAGTTAATGGTTAGAAAGCTGGCTCATTTTCTACTGTACATTAATTATTGTTGTTGATCTTATTATTTTATTATTGACATATCAGTGCTGTATATTATTTTATTCTTATTTTTAGTAATCTATGTGGGAGACAGCCAGCGTGTTAAAAGAAAAATGATTTTATACTTTTAATGTATTATTGATGTACCACTATATATTTTTAACTGGCAGTTTCATACCCGTCCAGCAGGACTCCAGGAAGAAAGTACCTTTTATATTATTTGATCCATGACTGTCTTTCTGCATGTGGTGCAGTGTTGACCCACTGAAATGCAACATTGAACCCTTCTGGAAAAGCAACTAAAGAGCAAGTGATGGTGAAGGTGTTTTCTTTGGGTCTTCCTGTTCACCTTGTTGTAAAAATCTTGAATCAAAATGACTAGAATGGTTAAAATAAAAAAGTACAACATTGGGTTAAAACTAAAATATGACAGTGCTTGATCATGTCATTGAGTTGAAAGTTAAGAGCAGGACTGAGAGTAAACTCAGAGGTGCTAAAAAGGTAATTACAGAAAGCAGTAATAACTGGTTAATTCCCTGCACTATTTTCATAGAAGGACGTACAGGCTGGGTTGTAGGAGTGACCACTAAAATTCTTTTATTACTAAATGTAAAAAGAAAAGCTTGTTTCTTCTTTTTTGGGTCACCCTGCCTCATTGGGAGACAGCTAATGTGTTAAAAAATTAAAATTAAGATTTTTTTTAACTTCTTCTTTCAACAAACCTGGCCGTATCCCACCGAGGCAGGGCGACCCAAAAAGAAAAACAAAAGTCTCTCTTTTTAAATTTAGTAATTTATACAGGAGAAGAGGTTACTAGCCCTTTGCTCCTGACATTTTAGTTGCCTCTTACAACACGCATGGCTTACGGAGGAAGAATTCTGTTCCACTTCCCCATGGAGATAAGAGGAAATAAACAAGAACAAGAACCAGTAAGAAAATAGAAGAAAACCCAGAGGGGTGTGTATACATATGCTTGTACATGTATGTGTGGTGTGACCTAAATGTAAGTAGAAGTAGCAAGATATACCTGAAACCTTGCATGTTCATGAGACAGAAAAATGGGCACCAGCAATCCTACCATCGTGTAAAACAATTGCAGGCTTTCATTTTACACTCACATGGCAGGACGGTAGTACCTCCCTGGGTGGTGCTGTCTACCAACCTACTACCTAATTTCTTTTAACCCTTTCAGGGTCCAAGGCCCAAATCTGGAGTCACGCACCAGTGTCCAAGAATTTTCAAAAAAAAAATTTGTTATTTTTTCTTATGAAATCGTAGAGAATCTTTTTGTGAAGGTAATAAAACAAAAAGTACGAAATTTGGTGGAAAAGTGACGAAATTATGCTCTCGCGAATTTTGATGTGTCAGCGATATTTACGAATCGGCGATTTTGCCGACTTTGACTCCCATTTTAGGCCAATTACATTATTCCAATCAACCAAATTCTTAGCTATTTCACTAGTATTAATTCTGTTCTATCGATTGAGCACAAGAAATCGCCAAGTCAACTGTTTCAACTACAAAATAAAGTGATCGGAAATTGTTATTTGGCCAATTTAACACAAAGTTCAAAATATTCCAATTTCAAAAAAGGGTCCAGAATGAACAATGTAGGCATTCCTGGCACTAAACTAACATTTCCTCTGTTTTATTAGTTATGTTTGAGGCTTTACAAATAAAATTTCCCTTTGATTTTTTATTCACATAATGAATTTTTATTCACACCAAAAAATAGAAGATTTACTCTTATGCAATACTGTAATAATTGTATAAATATCATCACCATATTTGTGAAATGTATATTAGACCCACCAGTGACGTGTATTAGACGTGTGAGGTCGTTTGTTTACTCTTGAATATCGGCAAAAATTTAACATTTCCGTACTTTGAGCTCAGTTTCAAGCTTTCCAATGCTAAAACCAATCAAAATCATCTCTATTTCTGTATTATGTCTTCCATTCTATCAAATGAGACCAAGAAATCGCAAATACAACTATAAAAAAACCTACGAAAAAACACTGCAAAGTTGCTGTTTTAATCGAAAAATCATGATTTCACTTTTTTTCTCTCATTATACACAGTGTGCTGCAGGATCTGTTTTATGTGGTGCACACATACCACATAGATGTATTCTCTCATATCTAGGCCCAAATGTACCACTCACAGTTTATCAGAGTGAGCTGAGCTCATGGCGTAGATCTATGGTTTGGACCCTGAACGTAAAGCCGTAGATCTACGGGACGGACCCTGAAATGGTTAACATGTGCAAAAATGGTGAGAAGGTAGTTTTGAGGGAGAAGATTGAGAAGGGAGGGAATAGAGAGGGATAGGAGAGAGGGAGATGATAGAAGGGAGGAGAGAATCTGTTTTGTATATAAATTATGAAAATGATAGTGGGAATATAATTCTGATTAGATAATAGCTTTGACCATTACTTGAATATTTCTCTGCTATAGGAAGCACTTCAGTTTGATAGTGATATCGAGAGCCCAGTGAGTGAGCCATTTAAAGACTTGATTCATGGCTTACTGGAGGATGCCAACCGACGCCTCAACCATTCCGCTCTCCTCCAGCACAAATTCTTTTTCCATATTAACTGGAATGATCTCAGAAATTGTAAGTTTTGCTTATTGTTATCACCTGCTTTTTTGAAAACTAAAATTTTACTTTTCCAGAAAATCTGCATTTTATTGGTGTTTAAGTCAATTATATTTAGTTATGGTGTATGTAAATACATGTAACTGTATAACCTTAGTGAAGATGTTTTGTCCTTGTGAATAATGGTAAGAATTGATTATAGATTATGTTGGCAATATTTTGACCAGTGTGAACAATCTGCCTTATGGCAGCATTGGCAGAGATACAGTGTGACCTGAAAGTCCTTTTAAGATTTCAAAAAATTATTACGACAACATGGTAAAAGATATGAAAATTTATGCTTCCCTGGTAATATATTTTCAGAGTACAGTAATTGGTTTATGAATTATTGGGTGTTCCAGATACCAGTAGCTGACAATAAAATACTCTGCTACAATAAACAATTGCATCAGAAAAATCACATCAGACATGAAGGCCAGTATGTATGTGGAATGAACTGGAGTATTGATTAGGTGTATTATGGTTCACTAGAGGTGCACATGTTGAGGTTACATACATTGGACAGACAAAAACTTTTATTTCTGCTATCATGTACAGAACTGTTTTTTCATGTCTTTTCATTATGTTGTAAAAAGCTATAATAGGAAAAGGTTTTTTTATGAGAAAAGCTCCCTGTGTGACGCCTTTCTTGTGCGCCAAGGATTTACTGGAAAGAATCTCCCATTTATTGGCTTCACTTATAATAGAAAACAACAAAATGCAGAAAGGTAAATATTAACTGTGTATATGTATTCTCCTATTTGTACAGTACTCACCTCGTGTGGTTGCAAAAGTTGATTCTCAGCTCCTGGCCCTGTATTTTAACTTTCCACTCTTCAGATTTCTTAGTTAAATGTTTTATTTTTTTATTAACACACTGGCCAATTCCCACCAAGGCAGGGTGGCCCGAAAAAGAAAAACTTTCACCATCATTCACTCCATCACTGTCTTGCCAGAAGGGTGCTTTACACTACAGTTTTTAAACTGCAACATTAACACCCCTCCTTCAGAGTGCAGTCACTGTACATGTACTTCCTATCTCCAGGACTCAAGTCCGGCCTGCCGGTTTCCCTGAATCCCTTCATAAATGTTATTTTGCTCACACTCCAATAGCACGTCAAGTATTAAAAACCATTTGTCTCCATTTGCTCCTATCAAACACGCTCAAGCATGCCTGCTGGAAGTCCAAGCCCCTCGCACACAAAACCTCCTTTACCCCCTCCCTCCAACCTTTCCTAGGCCGACCCCTACCCCGCCTTCCTTCCACTACAGACTGATACACTCTTGAAGTCATTCTGTTTCACTCCATTCTCTCTACATGTTCGAACCACCTCAACAACCCTTCCTCAGCCCTCTGGACAACAGTTTTGTTAATCCCGCACCTCCTCCTAACTTCCAAACTACGAATTCTCTGCATTATATTCACACCACACATTGCCCTCAGACATGACATCTCCACTGCCTCCAGCCTTCTCCTCGCTGCAACATTCATCACCCATGCTTCACAGTTCTTATCTAATGTTTCAATACACATATAACCATTAGTTAAATGTACCAGCAGTATACCTGGAGAGGGTCCCGGGGGTCAACACCCCTGTGGCCTGGTCTGTGACCAGGCCTCATGGTGGATCAGGGTTGAGGCAATGAATAGTCTACATGTCTTCTGCTTCATCTGATAATATATAGTACAGGTAAAATTTGTTACAAAATCATTAACCCCAGGTAGTATTGGTGGTGGTACAGGAGCAGCCCCACTTATACAGCAGGTTAGGTTCTGGGCTAATGCTGTAAAGTGAAGCAGCATTTTTTTTTTTTAATGCACATAAAAGTTTGGAAGGACGTCTAAACTGTTGTATCTGAGCGCCTCTGCAAAGACAGTGATTATGTATGAGTGATGGTGAAGCATTGAATGATGATGAAAGTTTTTCCTTTGTTTTTGGGTTTTTCTTTTTGGGTCACCCTGCCTCAGTGGGAAACGACCAATGTCTTAAAAAAAATGAAAGCCTTATAAAATGTTTACACTATCATATATTAAGTGAACAATAGAGCTAGGCCTAAAAAATTCTTATACAGTACACACATTACTTACCTTAAAATATTTTCATCCTTAGCTTATACAGTGGACCCCCTCATAACGATTACCTCCGAATGTGACCAATTATGTAAGTGTATTTATGTAAGTGCGTTTGTACGTGTATGTTTGGGGGTCTGAAATGGATTAATCTCTTCACAATATTTCTTATGGGAACAAATTCGGTCGGTACTGGCACCTGAACATACTTCTGGAGTGAAAAAATATCGTTAACCGGGGGTCCACTGTACTGTGTGGTGAATATACTTATTTATTGTAGGAAGTCTGAATAAGTGAATAATGGGTATTAATGAAAACTGCTGCATTAGCAGAACATTGTAAAGCTGGGCCCTTCTGTATTTATGTCAGCAGAGTGTATATTCCCTCAAAGGAAACTAGACATGCAATTACTCTTGAATGTTGACCTGTTGCTCAATAGTTAAATGCTTGGCTTGCAAGTGAAGGAACCTGGGATTGATTCTCAGGCAGGGAGAGATGTATAGGCAGGTCTCCTTTCACCTTTTTCCTCCGTTCACTTGTTCAAGATTTGACACTATAAATACCTAGCTTAGTACCAAGTTTAAAAATCTTGCCTGAGTCACATCACATTTACAAGCAACCATTTTGAGAAATTTTGTACCCGATGTCAAGATGTTGTATTCTGAGCACCTCTGAAAAATGGTGATTATGTATGAGTGAGGTGAAGTGTTTTAATGATGATGAAAGTATTTTCATTTTGATGATATTCTTTCTTTTTGGGTCACCCTGCCTCAGTGGGAGACAGCTGACTTGTTAAAAAAAAAAAAAAAGTCAAGATGAAAAAAGTTAGATTCCTTCAACTCTAGATTTATATTCTTGTTTGACAGTTGTATTTGTCACTTGCTCGCTGAAAAATTAATTTTCATGCAGTATTTTTTAGATCCATTATACAGCCGGACTTGAGTTCGGGGAGGTGGGAGGTACAGTGCCTGCGCCTGAAGAAGGGGTGTTGATATGTTGGGGTTTAATTGTAGTGTAGATGCACCTGGCAAGACTCTGAGGAGTGAATGATGATGAAAGTGTTTCTTCTTTTTTGGGTCAGCCTGCCTCAGTGGAAAACGGCTGATTTTTTTTTTTTTTTTTTTTTTCCAACAAGTTGGGCCCTCTCCCCCCGAGGCAGGGTGCCCCAAAAGGGAAAAAAAAAAAACCCCCGAAAAAAAAAATGCTTTCTCTATTAAAACACTTTCCCTCACTAAACCAAAATCACGCTTTTTTTTTTTTTTTTTTTTTATCACCCCCGGGCCCCCAAACCCACCAAGGCGGGTCCCCGAAAAGAAAAACTTTCCCATCATTACTCCACCCTGTTTTGCCAGAAGGGTGCTTTACACTACGTTTTTAAAACTGAAACAATCACCCTCTTCGAGTGCAGGCACTGTACTTCCCATCTCCGGGATAAAGTCCGGCCTCCCGGTTTCCCTGAACCCCTTTATAAATGTTATTTGCCACACTCCAACAGACGTCAAGTATTAAAAACCCCTTTGTTCCATTCCCTATAAAACCGCTCCGCATCCCTTTCGGGAAGCCCAAGCCCCTGCACACAAACCCCCTTTCCCCTCCCCCTCAACCCTTCCTAGGCCGACCCTACCCCCCTTTCCCTTTTCCACTACAGTGAAAACCTTTGAAGTCTTCTGTTTCGCTCCTTTCTCTTCATGTCCGAACACCTCAACAACCCCTTCCCCTCAGCCCTCTGGACAACAGTTTTGGTAATCCCGCACCTCCTCCTAACTTCCAAACTATAAATTCTCTGCTTATTTTCACACCACACTTGCCCTCAGATTGACTCTCCACTGCCTCCGCCTTTCCTCGCTGCAACATTCATCAACACGCTTCACACCCATATAAGAGCGTTGGTTAAACTATACTCCATACATTCCCCTCTTTGCCTCCAAGGACATTTTTTCTTTGTCTCCACTGTCCTAAGTGCACCCTCACTCTTTTTCCCTCATCAATTCTATGATTAAACCTCATCTGTCATAAAACCATCCGTGCCCAGTCCCCCCAAATATCTGATTCGTTTCACTCTCCATACTCTCCCCTCCAATTGATATTCAAATCTTTAATCACTAATCTTTTTGTTATCCTCCATAACCTTACTTTTCCTGTATTACCCTTTAATTTTCTTCTTTTGCACACCCTACCAAATTCATCCACCAATTTTTGCAACTTCTCTTCGATCTCCCAAGGCACGTGTCATCGGCAATGAGCACTGTGTCAACTCCCACTTTGTGTGTGTTCTTTATCTTTTAACTCACGTATTGCCAAGTCCCTCGCTTTTTTTACTTCTACTAAACCCCTTCTTAAATTATTAAACACCACGGTGCTCCAACCCCTTTGTTAAGGCCTATTTTCTGGGAAAAAATTCCCTCTTTTACATACTCTATTGAGCCTCACTATCTCGTAAAAACTCTTCATGCTTTCAGTATACCTCCTCTACACTTAACACTTGCAAACTTCTGCCATTTGCCCCCTTTCCACCTGTCTACGCCTTTTTCCAATAACAAAAATCCACAAGCCCTCTTAGCTTATTAAATTTACTGTTACTTTTTTTGTTCACTGTAAAACCTGGTCCAAACCCCCTACCTTTCCTAAAGCCTCCTTGGTTCATTGCTATCCTATTTCTCGCCTTTACTTTAATTTTTCATTATAACTCTACATACACTTTTACCTGGTACCTCAACAGATTTATCCCCTAAAATTTTTGCACTTCTTTTTTTCCCCTTTGCCTTTATAAAAGGGAAAAATATGCATGCTTCTGCCAATCCTAGGTACCTTACCCCTTATTTAATTTATTAAATTTTAATTGCCCCAAACCCACTCCAAAACTTTTATCCCACTGCTTTTAACATTTCTATCTTTATCCCATCAATCGGCTGCCTTACCCCTTTCATTTTACCTACTGCCTCACGAACTTCCCCACACTCACAACTGGCTTTCCTCACTCCTACAAGATGTTATTCCTCCTTGCCCTATACACGAAATCACAGCTTCCCTATCTTCTCAACATTTAACAATTCCTCAAAATATTCCTTCCATCTTCCCAATACCTCTACCTCTCCATTTAATAACTCTCCTCTCCTATTTTTAACTGACAAATCCATTTGTTCTCTAGGCTTTCTTAACTTGTTAATCTCACTCCAAAACTTTTTCTTATGTTTTAATAAAATAAAAACATAGATTATGCTGTATTATAATTACTAATTTGCAGGTTTTATTCAGAAACATAGCAGTGCTCATTGTGTCCTTGCTTTACAGGGAAAGACTGAATTTCATGAGTAGAGTTGACATTTATTTTTTTTTTATTTTAAGAAATAATTATAAAAAGACACCATACTCATGTTTTCTTGATATTTAAGGAAATATTCCCATTGCATATATTTAATACGCTACACATACATGTACAAGCATTTATATACACACCCCTCTGGGTTTTCTTCTATTTTCTTACTAGTTCTTGTTCTTGTTTATTTCCTGTTACCTCCATGGGGAAGTGGAACAGAATTCTTCCTCCGTAAGCTATGCGTGTTGTAAGAGGCGACTAAAATGCCAGGAGCAAGGGGCTAGTAACCCCTTTTGTATATATTACTAAATGTAAAAGGAGAAACTTTTGTTTTTCCTTTTGGGCCACCCCGCCTCAGTGGGATACGGCCGGTGTGTTGAAAGAAAGATCTCAATATCCAATTAATTAGCATTATTTTTTATAGATCACCTCGAGATACTACAGCATTTAACATCTCGATACTGGATGAATCGATAAGAGAACCATCCTATCTTGAAGCACAGCTTAAAGCCCAGAAGAAGGAGAATCACGAACTTAAATTAAAGGTGAATAATGCATTACTTGTCCATTATCCAGATTGATTGTTCACTCACTGTTTCTTCCTGATCAGGTGTTTGCATAAATTGTGGCACTCTTTGTTGACAGCTCTCTGAGTTTAACAGTTCTTATCTAATGTTTCAATACACATATAACCATTAAGTAGTTAATGGTCCAAGTTAAACCAAAATGTTGTTGTAAGTTTCTCTCTTTTATGCACAGGTTGTTTGTGTATTGTTCCAGTCACAGTACAGGTTCTCCTCACTTTGTGATGTACAGTGGAACCTCAAATATCGAACTTTCTTCGGTCCAGAAGGCTGTTCGAGTGCCTTTACCGAATGAATTTATTCCCATCAGGAATAATGTAAATTAGATTAGTCCATTTCAGACCCTCAAAAATACACTTATAAAAGCACTTACAAAAATACACTTACATAATTGGTCATGTTGGGAGCAGTTCGATTTTTGAGGTTCCACTGTACTTGTTTACCGATGACTCGGACTTAAATTATATTAGAGCTGATTTCCTCTATTCTGTTTATTACAATATACAGTACACTACTACAGTGGACCCCCGCTTAACGATCACCTCCAAATGCGACCAATTATGTAAGTGTATTTATGTAAGTGCGTTTGTACGTGTATGTTTGGGGGTCTGAAATGGACTAATCTACTTCACAATATTCCTTATGGGAAAAAATTCGGTCAGTACTGGCACCTGAACATACTACTGGAATGAAAAAAGTTCGTTAACCGGGGGTCCACTGTATATAAACATTTAAAAATACGTATACTAAAAATGTTGTAAATAGTGCAAAGGTGACATTAAAACAATATCAGAGATGATTGACACAAACCTGCTACCATTATAGTATGCTCCTCACTTAACAACGAATTAGTTTACCAATGTGATCTTAGGAATGGAACTCCATTGTTAAGTGAGGAGAGGCTGTATTGTGCTTTTTTATTCTCTCTTCGTTTTTTGTTCCATTGATGTACTCTACTGCTTGTATTGGCTCATACCTACTTTTCTCATACAACTTGACTACTTTATGCAACCAGGTTTTTGTTTCCTTGGATCAAGCCTGTTTACCTTCCATGTCAAAGGTGCAATATGACCCTTTGGTTTAGCACTCCCCATTTTGTTTGCATGGACAGTGTGTACAAGATAGTAGACCACATTACCTGACATCTGAGCAGCAAAATAAAAATTGAGTGGGAGATTGTCTTTAGGTTGCTTAAAACTCGGGTGGAACAGTATAATGGTTGCTTACGATGTGTTTGTCTGTTCTTGACACGATTGTTTGAGGTATTCATATGTAAAAAGGTTTGAAATTCAGTACTTGCAGTAGTTATTTATTTTTCTAAATTTAGTTTATGAAGCATACTTACAGTGCCTGCACTCTAAAGGAGGGGTATGGGATATTTTTTGTTTGGAGGGGCATCTGAACTGTCGTATCTGAACCCCTCTGGCAGGAGAGTGATAGTGTGAATGTTAGTGAAAGTGTTTTTTTTGGGGGGGAGGGGGGTGTCACCCTACCTTGGTAGGAGACAGGCCAGCATGTTAAAAAAAAAAAAAATTTGATGATCATGTTTACTTTCTCATTACATATCTTCACATTGTATTTTATATTTTTAGCTTGAAAGTATGAAGGAGAGTGAAGTAGGCCTTCTGATAAAAGGTAAAGACATGAAGCTGAAGGAAGCAGAGTGTCGGGTGGAATACCTGGACAAGGAGAGGCAGCGCTTGGAAGAAGAAAGTGTCAAGGAGAAGAAAGTTGCTGAAGTTAGTATTTTTCTTCTGTAACTGCAATACATTTTTGATGTAAAAATGCTAGAAGTATAAATGCAGAACTCCATGGGGAAGTGGACGTGAATTTTTCTTCCGTTAGCTGTGCATGTCGTAAGAGGTGCTACAGTGCCAGGAGCAAGGGGCTAGTAACCCTTTCTGTATAAATTACTAAATGTAAAAACGAACAACTTTCATTTCTTTTTTTGGGTCACTGCCTTAGTGAGAGACAGCTGGTGTGTTAAAAATACAGAAATGCTACATTTTTAACTCATTCGCTATTTCTCATAAAGACAGAGTGACCCAAAAGACGGAAACATTTACCAACACTCATTCACTTGCTATTTTTCTGGAATTGCATTGACATCACAAATTCAAATGAGCCTCTAATGCACAACATATCTCTCACCTTCAGAATTTAAGGTCATTGATATAGCTTTCCTGAATTTCTACATACATGTTACCTTGCCAAAAAACCCACTTACCCCACTCGCTGCACTCTAACATGTTGACATATGCTAATACATACCAAGGCATGGCTGAATGACTCAGTCCAATAAAAGATTGTACAAGTTTGTGCATATTGTGACAAAATATAAATTTAAGCTTTTGAAAAAAAAAAATCCAGGAAAATTTGTTGTATCTATGCAGAAAAGGATAGAGAATGTAGAAATAAATGTAAGTCATTAAGTAAGACACATGTGCAACAGTTAGTTATCTTTATTCAGAAATGTTTCTTTTACACAGTAGGCTTCTTCAGTCATATACAGAGGTGACAGTAGAAACATTAGAGATGTAAAGAGAATGTAATCAGTCCATCACCCTTGAAGACATTTTGAGGTTGTCAGTCCATCAGCTTGGCTGAGGGTGATGGAATGATTACATTGTCTTTACATCTCTGCTGCTTCTGCTGCCACTTCTGTATTTGACTAAAGAGGCCTACTGCATAGGCAAAACATTTCAAAATAAAGCTACGTAACTGTTGGATATATCTTGATTGTGAACTTGATGGTATTGTTTATCATTATCATGTTCAAAATACAAGTTAACTTTTCAACATGGGATTTTTAAGTGAACATTTTTCTCCTATTCTAGGCTTACAGAAGAGACTTAGCACTGGAGAGGGCAGATCGGGCCCAAACAGAAAGCCAAACTATTGATTTAGTAAGGAGTTTGAAAACCCAGTGGAAAATGGCTGAATCAAAAAAAGTTGAAGCTCTGGAGAGTAGAATCACTGTGAGTATTCTTGTATGAGGACAGGAGAAGGTAGTGTGAGGAGAGGAATGGTTATGGTTTGGTAATGCCAGTGAAGTAACTATTTCTGATGCACTGCACTGCTGTACAAGCTTGTTCACACCCAGATTAATCCTTTCAAGGGAGGTGTCTTGATGCTGATGAAAGTCTTTTGATCTAAGGGAGTGGAGTTATGTTTCCACTCATTTGACCAAACCTGATTACCTTGGCTTATGATAGTTTTAACAATTTACTGATTTGTTGTAGGTATATGAAGAAGAGATTGCCTACCGACAGTCCCAGAACCAGGAGCTTAGCAAAGCACTCCTAGAGAAAGACAAGGCTCTGAGAGTTGCTCTAACTGAGAATGCAAAGCTGAAGAAACAGCTGCAAGTAAAGGTAAGTACTAATATTATCTTTGTAGATAAATTAGACACAAGTGCAACACTTGGGTATCTGTGGAATGTTTTGCCACACATTGTCTTCATCATTGCCACTGTGTGGCAAAATGTTTCCACAGTAAAGATACCCAAGTGTTGCACATGTTTATAATTTATCAACTTGTCAGTTCTCTGAACCATTTGTCTACATATCTGTAGTTACAGGATTTGAATCCTGGAGGTGGGAAGTACAGTGCTTGCACTCTGTAGAAGGGGTAGGGATATTTGCAGTTTTGATCTGTAGTATTGGTGCTCCTCTGGCAAGACAGTGGGTGATAGTAAAAGTGTTTCTTTTTTTGGTCGCCCTACCTCGGAGGGAAACGGCTGTTTTTTTTTTTTTTAAATAAAAAGGGTTACAGGATCAGTGCTATTGTTTTGAAGTCCAGTTTTTATTGTTTAGCTTGTCAGATTATAATTTTAGGTCTCAGTTGGTAAGTTTACCTCTTCATGGATCCTGTTCCAGTAGCCTCACTATTTGTCAGGCACCACAGCTAAGTGGAGCTACATTGCATATGATTGGAGAAGTTGTTTCTTCCATATGCAGTACTGTAATGTCCTTTTTAAAATACTTTTCTTGGGGAAACACGTTACTGGAAAGACAATTTTTTCATTTTCTCTGTGATTGGTTAATACTGTACCTACTTAATGAATTTTATTTTTAATGCTAGACTGGTTTGTTTTGATTGCCTGTGGAAGTACTAATTTTAAACTCCAGTTATTTTCACCAAGGTGGCCAAGCACTATGGTAAGAATATATTAGGTACCTCTTCCCTATTGATGTTCACTAATATTTTTTTTTACATATTGTGATCTATAATGATGCCTGGTGGCCTGCTCTGTTTTCTCCATATTACCCTTTTATTTTTTCTCCTTTTTCTATCATTACCCTTTTATTTTTATCCTTTCTATTTTCTATGCATCCACTGTTTTCCATGTACAAGTGAACTGTGACAGTCCTCTCCACACTTTCCAGCTTCTCAGTGTAAACAAGTTTTTGTTTCACATGTATTCTTGCTGTATTTTAATATATTTTATTCTTTTTGTTTATACATAATGAGTGGTTTGATGCAGTTTTTATTACCATGGTTTGTGATACCGTATATTTACCTTTGAACCTTGGTATTGAATCAGCTGCCACTCCGCCATATGCCAGATCATTCCACTTTACTATTGAGGCATGGAAAAGGTGTTGTATGATGTCCCTGTGGCTCAGTTGAGTGTGTGCTTCCACCTATACATACAAATTCTAATTCATTAAAGAATTTGTGTACATTGAGTCTGTGACATTGTCATATTTCTAATGATATTTGTATTTGTGTTTTCTCTCTGTGGGGAAGTGGAGAAGAATCACTTCTCTGTAAGCTGTGTGTTGTAAGAGGCAACTAAAATGCCAGGAGCAAGGGACTAGTAACCCCTTCTGTATACATTGCTAAATGTTAAAAGAAGAAAAACTGTTTCTTTTCTTTCAGGCCACCCTGCCTTGGTGGGAGGCAACCAGTGTGTTCAAAAAATTATTTTGCTTAATTTTGACTATTGTTTCTTGCTGCTTTTGGTTATCCTATTTGTCAAATTGTGTTGAACATATGCTAGTTGGTAACAACTAAATGCCTTTCAGTGATTATGTTTCCCAGTTCTTGAAGAGGAATTCTAATTGATTAAATACTAAATGTATTTAATTCTTAGAAGTCTAGTGGGTCTATTTAGAATTTTTAATAAATTACTCTTAATATAGTTATATTTTTCTATATCTGCTTCACTTCCTCCATGCTCTTCTCTCAAAATTGCTGTAATACAAAATTTTTAGCATCATTTGCTTCTTTAGGTCTGTGCATTATTTCCTGTTTCTGGTTTGAAAAGGTTCTGTACATCTTTTTGATAGTTTGTTTTAATTTGTCACCAAATAGGAGAAGCAAGAATCTACTAAAGAGAAAGAAAAAGTTGTGCTTGAGTGTCTTGGAGATTGTTCGGCAGCTGTAGAAGCCAAGATGATGTTAGATGAGGTAATGTTAAAACTGGAGACTGAAAAGAAAAAGAATTCAAGTACTAGTGTTCGGTTAGAGGAAGTAACAATGGAGATGCACAGGTTAGAGAAGGAGCTTGGGGAGAAGACTCATGTTGAAAAAGAGAGAAGAATTGTGGAAGAACAATTACAGGAGTTACAGACCAAGTTCAGTACAGTAGAAGAGAAACTGACAGAATCACAGAAACATCTACAGACTAATAAAGAAATGGTAAGTAACTGTTTATATATTTTATTATAGGGGAGGGGTGGGGATATTTTGCAGTTTGCAAGGGCATCTGAACTGTAGTATCTGTGCCTATGGCAAGACAGTGATAGTGAATGATGGTGAAAGTGATTCTTTTTCGGGTTACCCTGCTTTGGTGGGCGATGGCCAGTGTGTTAAAAAATACATTTATAAATGTTGTATATTTTATTTTACCTCAGTGACCATCTCTTGCCAAGACATGGTAAGCCAGACTTGAGTCCTGAAGGTGGGAAGGGTAGTACCTGTACACTGAAGGAAGGGTGGGCATGTTGCAGTCAGAAAGCCATCAGAATTGTGATGTTGGTACAATTCTGTCAAGACAGCAGTTGAATGAATGATGGTGAATGTGTTGACCATTTTGGGTTACCCTGCCTTGTTGATTGATGGCTGGTGAGATAAAAAAAATTTAATTGTGCTTGGGAAGAATGTAAAAGTGTATTCAATGAAGCTACAATAGCTAATAGATAATTTTTTTCTACTTCAGGGCGACTTGAGGGAAAAGAAGATATCAAAAATCTTGAGGGCAATTAGCCGAGAGTGAAGTGATTACTCGGCTCTGAAAGCTACATGTTGTAAATTTATTTGGTGCTGACAACTTTAAACTAATCAAAAGGAAATGAGCTACAGTTGTCTCTACTCACCAAGAACAGTTCTTGTTCTCAGAACTGGATTAACTGATTGCAAATTAGTTTTATAGACCCAGGCTTGTGACATTTTCTTGGAAGATTTCATTTTTTTTTCTTGCAAATGTTATTTCCTTGGACTCTGTGTTCCCACGTCACAAGTTCTTATTATTCATGGTTTCCCGAAAAAGGAAAATAATTAAACCTTAGCAGCAAAATTTGGGTCTATGTAACTCTTTAAGATAGCCTGAAAGTACATTATCTATTATTTGCCATTTTGATTTTCATAGGCGACTAAATGTCGTGATCAAGGCTTACTATAACCCCTTGTATATATTATTAAATGGGAACAGAAGGGAAAAAATTTAAAGTTTTTTTTTTGTTTTGTTTTTGATGTCGCCTTCCTTGTAGAGACTGGGAAGGTTAACCTTAAATGGTCCAACGTTATACGTTTTTTCAAATCTGAAAGCTGTAAAAAATGTAGATTTTTTTTTTTTTTTTACATTGGAAAACTGTAAAAAAAACTTTTATCAATTTTTTTTTTTGTTTTTTTGTAAAAAAGTAGAATTCACTTTGTAGTCGGATTTAGTACGTTGGACCGTTAATTAGTAAAGAAAAAAATTTGTTTAGGTTTTTTAACACTTTTTAACTCTACACATGTACAAATAACATTGTAGATATTGCACTTCAATTTTTTCTTCTTACCTTATTGTCTGTTAAAAGAAACCTTTGTAATACTGAAGATTTCATTTTTGTTTGTTTTTAAATTTTGAAAATTTTAGGAAAAAAAAATTGGAGATGTACTTAAAGGGGATTTATGCCTAGAAAAAGGAGAATATTGAGTGGAATCCTTTTAATTAAGAAATATTTGCCCTGTTGTTAGAGTTAAATTGTTTTTGAAAGTAATTTTTTTGGGGATTTTTTCTTTTCATTGCCCGTAACAGGGTTGTTAAAAAATAAAAACTTTTTGACTTAGAGGGTTAACGTGTGGTAAATTTTGTGGTAATTTAATATCCCCTTGCTGGATTTCCTTTTAATTTACACTAGTTCCATTTTTTTTTTAACAATAAAATTAAATGATGGGGATTTTTAATGTTTGTTTCTTTCCTATGGAATTTCACCTGAATGAACAGGGAAAATTAAAAAACTTACTTAGTTTAAAAGGGAAGAACAGGGAAAAAAATTAGGTTTAGGGGTAAAATGTAGAAACAGCCGTTAATTCAAACAATATTTTACACAGATAAGTCTTTTTTTTTGTAATGAAGTACGAGTGTCTGAAAGTGGTGAATGATGGTGAATGTTTTTTCGTTTTGTGCCTGAAATTTTCAGTTGGTAAAACTCTCCCTCGCCTCACTTTTCCCACTGAGGCAGGAATAAAAAAAAAAAGAAACTTACCACTTAAATTTCTCGCCAATATTCAAATATACTGTTTGGCGGAAATTTCGATTGGTTTTGATTTTAAATCCAACCCCCTTCTTTAAAATGTAGGCATTTTAATTCCACCTTAGGACTCATGTTGGTTCCATTTCCTGATTTAAAAATATACCTCTGACATCATCCCACTGAGGGGCCAAAAATCATTCATAGACTTTACTCCTTCTACATAGATCAACATGCATGTCATGTCCAGTTTGCAAACAAACTCTTTTACCAGTCCCTCCAACCAAAGGGTGACCCAACCCCTTCCTAAAGGATTTATACATTTCCCAAATCTCCTATTTTGCTCCAACCTTCTAAAGTCAACCACCTCACAACCCCTCTTTAAGCTTCATTCTTTTTTTCCTTTAACTCCTTCTATACTTATTCTCTGCTAAATTTGCACCACACATTTCCTTAGAACTATCTCCATTTCCTTTCCCTTCCTTAAGGAGTAAACCCTCTTCCTCCATATAAGGGTTGTATACAACTTTATCATTCCTTTTGCCCATTGGTAATGTTTTTTTCCAAAATACCAGACAACTTTCACCTTTTTACTTCTTTCTATGACTCTCCTCAATAACACGTTCTGCAAAGTTTTACCACAGATATTGAAAATTCCCCTCCTCCAACCTCTCCTCCAGTGTACATCCCAGCTTTCATTACAATTTTGTTATTATCGCCTTATTCTTTGGTACATTCACCTTTTAATCTCATATCTCTTGCCAATACCCAAGCATTGCTTTTCTTACAACCCCATCTATAAATATATTGAACATCCATGGTGACATCACACTTCCCTGTCTAAGGCCTACTTTTACTGGGAAATAATCTTCCTCTCTCCTACAAACACTAACCTGAGCCTCACTATCCTCGTAAAAGCTCTTCACTGCTTTCAGTAATCTACTTCCTGTTTCATAAATTTGCAGCATCTTCCACATTTCCCCTCCCCCATCATGCACCTTTTTCAAATTCATAAATGGAACAAAAACCTCTTTACCCTTGTCCAAATACTATTCACCCATGTTTCACTGTAAACACTTGGTCTACACACCCCCTACCCTTCCTAAAGCCTCCTTGTTCATTCTAGATTCTGCTCTGTCTTATTCTTAATTCTTTCAATAATAACTACCATGGTATAAACCTTGGTAATAAATACCGACAAATTGGTTTAGAAAGACACTTAAGCAAACACTATGACATATTTATTAGGAAACGTTTCAGTCCTGGGACCTTGATCACTTCTAACATACAGAGGTAGAAAGACATTATTATATATATAGGCGGAGAGTGAGATGTGAGTGACGCACGTGACCTGAGGAATGTCATGTTGGGATGAGGACGGGTAGACGATGAAATCATGTGACTCCTGTGTTGTTGGGTTGGTGGTGCTTAAGTATCATGTATGCCAATGTTTTTGAAATTTTGTAGTTTCCAGTGTTGCGTTCTATAGTGTCGGTGATGGCGATTAGTGAGGCTTCTAGGCACCGTTGGCGTCTGAGGTCTGGTTCTGTGGGAATGAGTTGTGCCTCATTCCAGTTCATCAAATGCCCCGTGGAGTCTCTGTGGAGGACACAGGCGTACCTTACATCGTCTCTGTTAGAGGCATTTTGATGCTCATTCAGGCGGACTGCAAGATCTCTGCCTGTCTCGCCTACATATTTCTTGGGACAGAATCCACAGGGGATAGTGTAGACGCCTGCTGTAGAAGTTAGAGGTGGGGCTGCGTTTCGTAGTGAGGTCTTTGATAGATGATGTGTTTATGGTGGAAACGTTGATGTTACTCATAGCAAGTGCCCGGCGAGTATTCGTGGCAACCTCACCACATGGGAGTGCTACGAACTGCTTAGGGGGCTGTTCCATGGGCGATTTGTTGAGGATAGCTTGTGCCTTGAGTCTGCAATCTCGGATGAAGAAAGATGGGAACTGAAGACGTGTAAAGGCTTGTGTTATGTAAGTGCATTCTTCTTCTAGAAAACAAGGGCTGGAGATGCGAAGAGCTCTCAAGAAGAAGCCAATGAGGACTCCTCTCGTAGTGCGGGTGTCTTGGTGTGAATAAAAGTGTATAGCATCGTCTTTGTTGGTAGGTTTTCTATACAATTTGAAGAGAAGTTTGTCACTGTCAGGAGATCTGCACAGGAGAATGTCGAGGAAAGTAAGTTTGCCATCGTTTTCGAGTTCAAGTGTAAACTTTATTGATGGTTCAACTGCATTGATCTTGTTGAGAAGGGCCTGGATATTAAGACGTCTCGGATAGAAAACCAAATACCTTTCAGTGCTTCTGGGCACCATCAGTCAAGCCCACCTCAAACACTCGGGTGACCTTCTCTCCCGAATTTCCAACCTGAATGTTAAAAACAAAAGCATGGCTTCCTTCAATGTCACAGCCCTCTTTACCAATGTTCCTACTGACGCTACAATCCACATTCTGAGACAGAGGCTTACTGAAAACCACGACCTCCCTTTACCTCTTCTAGATTTCATCAATCTAGTGGAACTTTGTGTTAATTTCAACTTCTTCAAGTATCAGGACAACTGTTACAAACAGTGTTTTGGGATGGCAATGGGCAGCCCGCTCAGTGCTGTGCTTGCCAACCTCTTCATGGAAAACCTAGAGACAGAGAAATTCAGCACCCTCATTCCCAACACCGTTACCTGGCTAAGATACGTTGATGATATACATGTATTGGTTTTCTATGCGAGACATCTTAATATCCAGGCCCTTCTCAACAAGATCAATGCAGTTGAACCATCAATGAAGTTTACACTTGAACTCGAAAACGATGGCAAACTTTCTTTCCTCGACGTTCTCCTGTGCATATCTCCCGACAGTGACAAACTTCTCTTCAAAGTGTATAGAAAACCTACCAACAAGGACGATCTTATACACTTTTATTCACACCAAGACACCCGCACTAAGAGAGGAGTCCTCATTGGCTTCTTCTTGAGAGCTCTTCGCATCTCCAGCCCTTGTTTTCTAGAAGAAGAATGCACTTACATAACACAAGCCTTTACACGTCTTCAGTTCCCATCTTTCTTCATCCGAGATTGCAGACTCAAGGCACAAGCTATCCTCAACAAACCGCCCATGGAACAGCCCCCTAAGCAGTTCATAGTACTCCCATGTGGTGAGGTTGCCACGAATACACGCCGGGCACTTGCTATGAGTAACATCAACGTTCCCACCATAAACACATCATCTATCAAAGACCTCACTACAAAACGGAACCCCACACCTCTAACTTCCACAGCAGGCGTCTACACTATCCCCTGTGGATTCTGTCCCAATAAATATGTAGGCGAGACAGGCAGAGATCTTGCAGTCTGCCTGAATGAGCATCGAAATGCCTCTAACAGAGATGATGTAAGGTACGCCTGTGTCCTCCACAGAGACTCCACAGGGCATTTGATGAACTGGAATGAGGCACAACTCGTTCTCACAGAACCAGACCTCAGACGCCGATGGTGCCTAGAAGCCTCACTAATCGCCGTCACCGACACTATAGAACGCAACACTGGAAACTACAGAATTTCAAAAACATTGGCATACATGATACTTAAGCACCACCAACCCAACAACACAGGAGTCACAGGATTTCATCGTCTACCCGTCCTCATCCCAACATGACATTCCTCAGGTCACGTGCGTCACTCACATCTCACTCTCCGCCTATATATATATAATGTCTTTCTACCTCTGTATGTTAGAAGTGATCAAGGTCCCAGGACTGAAACGTTTTCTAATAAATATGTCATAGTGTTTGCTTAAGTGTCTTTCTAAACCAATAACTACCATACACTTTAAGAGGATCATAGTGTAATGTAAATTTTTAACAGTGTTATTTACTCATTACTCCAGTAGTACACATCACCTCTGTACACTTAATCTTGTGGCTGTCTGAGGACATCCCTTGGAACTTTTTCCTGATATTGGCACCCTGCAGGTTTAAGAATTTTTTTGTGAATGTAAAATTATGAGTATTCTGAAATCTGTACTTCATGCTATAATTCCTTAACAGGAGAACACAAGTCTAAGATTGCCGAGTTGGAGATGCTTCTCTCTAGGCTCGATGAAACTGTCCGAAATTTAGAGAACAAGAAGTCGTCCAGTCAGGCTTGTGAAGAAATGTATGTGGCGAAAGTTGAGTTGCTAGAAACCCAGTTAGAATCTACTCGTAATGCTCACTCCCAGGATAAAGAAAGCGTGAAGAAACTCTCAGATGAATTAAGAGAAGTAAGTATGTATAAGTAAATGAGACACTTGTGGTGCACCATTTGGGTATCTTTATTCTGGAAGTGTTTTACCAGCCAGTGGCTTCTTCAGTCCAGTATGGAGAAAAGTGTAAGATGAAGAGTTTGAGGTAATTAGTCAATGTATTCACTCCATCATTCATGATGGACTGAACATTGACTCTAGGCTGAGAGATTGATTACTTCAAACTCCTCTTCATCTTCCACCTTTCTCTGCAATGGACTGAAGAAACCACTGACTGGCGAAACATTTCCGGAATAAAGATACCCAAATGGTGCACAAGTGTCGAATTTATCAAACATGTTAATATTGTATAATTAATATGTTAGCACTACTGAAACATTAATGTTAAATTTAGCATTTTGTTAAGGATGGACTATTCTGAAAGGAAACAAAGCATCAGAGCTATAATGCTACCCAGCCTCGCTTTATGTCTGAAAAAATCTGAAGTTTTAACATTGTGTATTTTTACCAAGACATCCCACTGATGGGTGTCTTGCATTTTTATTTAATTTGCTCATTTGTGGTTTAATATGTGTAAGTAGTTCATCTAACCTGGCTTAAAATATCAATTTTATTTTGTGTAAACGGAGGACAGTCAGAAATTAAGACAGTGATATTTAAGAAAATACAGTGGACCCCCGGTTAACGATATTTTTTCACTCCAGAAGTATGTTCAGGTGCCAGTACTGACCGAATTTATTCCCATAAGGAATATTGTGAAGTAGATTAGTCCATTTCAGACCCCCAAACATACACGTACAAACGCACTTACATAAATACACTTACATAATTGGTCGCATTCGGAGGTAATCGTTATGCGGGGGTCCACTGTAATGTGAAATGAGGATAAGATGAATGTTTACTGATTGGGATCGCTGAATTTTATAATAAAAAAATGATTTAAACAGTATTAAAATGATTAAGGTATGATTTGGTTTATAGTTAATATGGTAATAGAAGCATAATTTTGCTCTGTACAAAAGATTTTATTTCTTCTCTCTTTCAACACAAAAAAAAAAAAACTTTTACCATCATTCACACTGTCACTGTCTTTGCAGAGAGAGAGGCATAAGGATACGACAGTTTAGATGTCCCTCTAAACAGCAAATATCCCAAACCCCTCCTTTAATTTAAATTATGAGTTATTTAATTGTAGTTTAAATGTGAAGATTGTTTTGCAGTATTTAAGTATAATTAATTTAACAGGTAAACCAGCAACTCTCGGACAACAAACTCGACATGCGTGTTGTTCAGAGGGAACTGAAGTCAGCGCAAGAAACCATCTCTTATTTACGTGACAAGAAGAAAGAACAACGCAGCCAACTAGACGACAAAGAAGCAAGTGTTGTAGTAGTAGTGTGATATAATCTTAAAACATGTCTTATTCTTCTGGTATATAATTTTAAGGAATAAAGGACTGCCACATTAATATTGTGGATATTTTTATTTTAGAGCATTATCCAAAAAGCAGCAGAAATGGAGAATGACCTTCGTAAAACTATTGGTCAGCTAGAGAATAATATTAAGTCTCAGGAGGAAGAGTTTGATAAAGAAAGAACTGAGCATCAGGTGGGTAATTTTAATGTCTTTTAGAAGTGTGTATGTGTGTGTAAGTAAATATTTACCAACTATAATTAAGGTGAAGTGATGTTACAAACTTCTCCTAAGAGTAACATTTTAGATAAGATAGTCCATCCCTTCCTGGCAACTGGTCATAACACTGTGTATCTTGAGGTGATGAATACATACTGAAGCCTATTCTTTTCTTCCCTAAGAGGAATAGCAAAATATTAACTGATGTATTTAATTTTCCCTGTTTTTCTCTTCTTATCATTTAGAAATCTTATGTTATTACTTCAGATGTTATTTAAATTTTTTTTTTTATTTCAGCAAGTAATTTCAAGCTTGGAGGAGAAGATCACAAGTCTGGAGGCAGTAAAGAAATCATTAGAGCAAGTGCAGAAACAGTTACGTGAAGCCCACCAAAAGGCTGATTGCCTTAAGGTATGCATTCTGGTTAACTTGGGGTAACTATTATGCAGTACATGCAAATAACCCACATTGCAACAATACAGAAGAAATGTTTTGTGAGGAGGCTCTCTGGTTAGACTGTAAATTTTTTCATTATTTCTTTATTGTTGAAAGAAGGTTATTCTTATTACTGCTACTACTATTTTTCCTGACCTTTCTCCTGTTCTGTCTTCTGGCCTTCTCTTCTCTTTCTTGCTCAGTATTGACTACAGTGATCAAGGTTGGATCGAAGCGTGATCACTAGTTTCCTCTTGTGTGTGTGGGTTATTTGTGATCTGTATATGTTACTGTAAAGTCAGTGTATCATTCACTAACTGTGTGCGATATAGATAGTACTATTTTTAATGTAAGATAATTAAAATGCTCTGACTGGAGATGGTGCTGCAGTCAAACATTCGTTCATTTGTCAATAAAAGGGAACAAGCCCATGTGCTTTTATTGTGCCAGTCTTGCTCTTAATAGATAATCAGAACACCTTGACAATCTGTTAAAAATAAAATTGGTATAAGTGAGACAACAGGTGGGAAAGGCAGTCTAAACATTCTAGAACTGATTAGGCTTGAACAAAAGGGTTCTGTTAATTTGCACCATAAATTTGAAGATTCATTCCAGTTTGTCCAAGAACAGTTTTTGAAAAGTTTTCTTCTGTCATCTTCAAGGGATGGAAATGGTTGCCCTGATACTGGTGAAAGGTTTTGGATCCAAGGAATTGGATCAAGCCTGATACCTCCCTTGTCCCTCACATATGACCCCTGAGTGTTTAGCACTTCTTCCTGAATATAATATATTACACAAATAACCCGCACATAAAAGAGAGAAGCTTACAACGACGTTTCGGTCCGACTTGGACCATTTACAAAGTCACATTAACCAGAAGTGGAGCAGGACGGCTATATATAGGCAGGAAGAGGTGGTGGTAGTAGTAGTAGTACAAGAATGGTATATAATACCGACAAGATGAAATTAAGACACATGCGCAACACCCGGGCATCTCTATCGTAGACGTTTCACCATCCAGCCAGCCACTGGATGGCGAAACGTCCACAACAAAGACACCCAGACGCCGCACATGTGTCTTAATTTCATCAGTAGTAGTAGTAGTAGTAGTAGAAGAGGTAGTAGAAGTGGGGAATGAGGACGAGCCAGTCAAATACAAAGGAAGGGGAGCACTGCAAGGGAGCTAGGTGCCCACAGTCGGACCGAAACGTCGTCGTAAGCTTCTCTCTTTTATGTGTGGGTTATTTGTGTATCGTTCCAGTCACGGTATTGCGCCTTTTTTTGTTATTTATAATATATTCTTCAAGGATCTGAAGTAAAATATCTCATATCTCTGTAGTCACTCCTAACTTTGGTCTCTCTTGCACTTAACCCTTTCAGGGTTTCGGCCGTACTAGTACGGCTTACGCACCAGGGTTTTTGACGTATTAGTATGCCTAAATTCTAGCGCCCTCAAATCTAGTGAGAGAAAGCTGGTAGGTCTACATATGAAAGAATGGGTCTGTGGTCAGTGTGCGCGGTATAATAAAAATCCTGCAGCACAGTGCGTAATGAGAAAAAAAAAAACTTTGACCGTGTTTTTGGATTAAAACAGCGGCTTTGCAATGTATTTTCGTATGGTATTTATTGTTGCATTCTAGTTTTCCTGGTCTCATTTTATAGAATGGAAGGCATATTACAGAAATTGAGATGATTTTGACTGGTTTTACAAAGAAAAGTATCTTGAAATTGAGCTCAAAGTAGCAGAAATGTTTGATTTTTACCAAAGTTCAAAAGTAAACAAATCATGCTATGTGTCCAGTACACGTCAACTGGTGAGTCTAATATTCTTTCACAAGTGCACTGATATTATTTATACCATTTCTTCACTAATGCAGTAGTCTGCATAACAGTAAATCTTCTATTTTTTTGTGAGAATAAAAATTCAAAGTGGAAAGCAAAAGAATGTAAGAGGGGCGTGGGGACGTGACTAATGAACAGAGGAAATGTTATTTTAGTGCCAGGAATGTCTTTCTTGTTTATTTTGGACCCTATTCGGAAATTGGCATCTTTTGAAATTTGTGTGAAATTGGCAAAATTGCTAAATTCTGACCACTGTATTAGATAGTTGAAATCAGTGAATGGGTGGTTTCTTGTACTCATTCGATAGAAAAAATGGAGTTCTAGCGAAATAGTTATGATTTTTGTCGACAAGTACACTGGAATTGGCCGAAAATAGGGCTCAAAGTGGGCAAAATCACCGATGCGTAAACATTGTCGAGACCGCTAACTTCGTGAGAGCCTAATTCCATATGTTTTCCATCAAATTTCATACTTTTGGTGTCATTACGATCGGGAAAAGATTCTCTATCTTTTCATAAGATTTTTTTTTTTTTTTTTTTTAAATTTGGCCGACCCTGAGAACAAGTCTCTGAGAAGGCCTGTCGACCCTGAAAGGGTTAAAGAACTTATTCATCTCTGCCACCTCTCCTTCTCCACTGTAGCAACAGTAGTACAGTGGTTTAATGTTGTTATAATTACATTTGTGATTTTAGCTGGACAAACGAGGCTTGGAGTCACAGATTCAGATGATGGAATCAGCCAGGGAAGAAGACAAACAAGAGAAGGTGACCTTCAGAGAAGAAATTGATAGGTTACAGAAGAAATTTGAGTATTCTGAATTGGTAAGCACTTAAATTATTATTTGTCCCAATATAACCCACATGGAGACAGAAACTCGGGAGATTGATTGATCTGTACAGGAGGACCCCAGTTATACACCAGGTTAGGTTCCAGGCTACTGCTGTAAAGTGAATCATAATGTTTTTTCACTTTCAAATGTATATAACAGCCTAATAACATGTTTACACTATCATATATTAAGTGAGCAATAAAGCTAGGGCTTAAAAATGCTTAGTTTATAGTGAGTGGTGAATATATTTATTGTAGGAAGTCTAAATAAATGAAGAATGGGTATAAGTGAAAACTGCTGCAGTAGTGAAATGCCATAAAGCAAAGTGCTGTAAAGCAGAGCCCTCCTGTATATTTCAGCCTCCCTTCTGTGATCCTCTTCATTTGCTGAAGATGATCCAAAGGGGGTCAAAATACACAGATCAATCAGTCTGCTGAGTTTCTCTCCATGTGGGTTATTATTGATCATTAATAAGTGTTCATTACACTTTAGTTATTCATTTTTGTTCTAATATACATTTCTCGTACCTGAGACATGTTACAAAGGCTTTTCTGCCCATAAAGACCAGCCTGAGTCTAGATTTACTTGTCTGTCTGGTCAACCAGGCTGTTATTGCAGCCAGTCCACAAACCTACTTAGCCATCAGTCTGGTTGATGAGACACCTGTTAGTGGCAGTCAAACATTTTCCTCTTGAAAATGTGTACAATAGTATTAAATGTTTGTGTGTATCCATGTGGTTTGAAGTAGACCAAGTGATCACAGCTACCATGGCAGGACGACTGTAAGAGACTAATTGGTAGTCCTTATGTTTGTTCACATATTGGAAAAGGTAGTGATTTAAATGTTTTGTATTCTGTCAGGATTATTAATCTTTTCATTAGCTTGTGAGCATATTAGATGACAACTAAATGTTGCAAACACCTGTTTACATGCAGTATTATGCACACTTTCCTTTCCTGACTCATGAAGTCATAATAATACGATTGCAAACAAATCAGAATGAGTAAAGTTTGTAAGCGCACCGGCCTACAAGTTTCAGAGCTCGCCTGAGTTTGAACCCTACCCATTCTGTGATTTGATTCTTGTGTGTTTCTTAATAGTTCATATTCAAGTAATATTTCCTTTCCAATTTATGGGGCCTAGTCTGAAATTAGGTGACGAATGATTCCTGTAGCCCTTAACAGATAACTTTAACTACATGCAGTAGTTAGTTAATGGGATCACCATGACAGTGAACTAGAGCTCAGAGCTTTTTCATTCCACCTTGTCATTGTTTCTTATGAAGGTTGATCCAGAGAAGGAAAATATTTACCATTTATTCTCTCACTGTTTTTCTAGAAATCTACAGACAACACAAGTTAAATGATACACTGACCAATAATTTCCTGCCCATCGTGCAGGCACAGTTGGATGAATAGGGATGTTGTAATTTGGCAGATTATTGGAATTGTGATGTCCATGCACTTTGGGAAAGATGTCTGCAATGAGTGATGGTTAATGGGTTTCTTCTCTGGGTCATCCTGTCTTTTTGGGAAATAGCCAATATGCTTAAAAGATTTTTATTTTTTAATGCACTGGCTGTTTCCCACCGAGGGAGGGTGACCCAAAAATGAAACACTTACCATCATTAAATTTAAGAAGGATTGGCAGGGAGGGTAATTTGAATTGCGATGTCAGTGCACTTTTGGAAAGACAGATAGTACAAACGATGGTGAATGTGTTTCCTTCTTTGGGTCACCCTGCCTCGGCAGGTCAGTGTCATTGAGATAAACAAAAAATTACAGTACTTGAAGTAGCAAGTGACTTTTAGTGACCTTTTAAAGTTTTTTTCTCAGGTAATATCACAGCTGAAACAGGTGTGTTCTGATCAAGATGAGGAGTTGTCAGTGTTGGAATCCTTCTCTGAAAAAATGAGTCAACATGAAAAAGATAAGTATGTATAGATTTATTTTGTATTTTTGAAGATGTACTTCACACACCGGCCATCTCGGTGGGCGACAGTCACTGTGTAAAAGAAAACTTCAGTCCGATAATTTCACATTAAAATTGCAGATTCTTTAGAATTAAAATCTATGAGAGAAATTGCAGTTGTTCTATTTTCTAGATATACAACTCATTTATGAGTTGAAAAATTGGCAACACATCTCGTTTGCACTTAGTTACTTCTCACCACAAATGCCATGCCTCTTGCAGTCCAATTCATAGCAACTATTGTACCAGATTTCTTGCTTTAAATTGGTGGTTATTATAACTTGATACGATAGCATTTGTGTTGCACAGTTTATTCATATTCATTTGTTTTTCTTTTGTGTATCATATATAATTTTTTTTATTGCTAAAAGCCCTGAGTGACCTACATAGTTAAAATTTTCTATAACTATCACTGCTGGTAACTCATTCTATACTGTAGAATAAAAATCTGAAATTGGAGGCTGGGGACAGTTGCTGCTCTGGAATAAAATGAGGCTGACAAACTTTCACACAAAAACTTTGCATCTTGATAAAAATTAAATTTTTGAGCATTTTTAACTCCAAATTGTAATCTATCATATTTGAATATTTTTTAAGGGCCAAACTAGAGGAAGAGATGGAGAAGCTGCAGGGTGAGGTGCGGGCAGCCAAGGCAGCTACCAATGAAGAGAAGTCACTAAAGCTGTTCCAGGAGAGGAAAGTCAAAGAACTGGAGAATCAACTTCGTGAAGTGGATGAGGAAACTGACAAGCAAATTATTCACCTCAATAATCAATTACAAGAGTCACTTAAGATAAATCAGGAGCTTCAAGAGCAGGTACGATTTTGTTGTATTGTTCATTAGCAATAGGTTGTAGAAGTTACCTTAACAATAAATGTAGAATAACATTGGGTATTTTAACACCCTTTTTTTCAACAAACGGCCGTATCCCACCAAGGCAGGGGTGACCTAAATAGAAAAATGAAAGTTTTTCCTTTTAGGTCACCCCTTTAAAAAGAGAAATGAAAGTTTTTCTTTTTCAATCTAGTAATTTATACAGGAGAAGGTGTTACTAGCCCATTGCTTCCAGAATTTTGCTTGCCTCTTACGACACACACTATACTTTATTTTTAACTTTTTTCATATACTGTTTCTTGCTGCCCATGCATTTTTTTTTTGTAAGTTTAATGCCATTGCTAGAAAGTGTTAATAAAATTAATGATTTATTTATACAGTAATTTAAATTTTTCTATTTGCAAAGATTGCAAGCTTAGATAGAGAGCTGAACGATGCAGTGCTACTTGTCCGAAATTTGGAGCGAAAATTATCAGAAGTACAAGGACGGCTGGACCTTGCAAACCAAGAGGTTACAAGCCATATCCATCATATTCACACACTCAAAGAATCAAACTTTAAGCTGACTGAAGGTCTAGAAGAAGCCATTTCAAAAGCAGAACTCTATAAAAGAAGGTGTGCATTTAATGTTTTTATTTTTTCTGAATTTAAATTCGGTAGGAAACTTTTTCCTTGGCTGATATTGGTAGTATAACTATTGAGGATATAAAATGTTTACACCTTTCATTTATTGTTTTTTGCTTACACTTACTGCTACTTCTCTTGAAGATGTCCACTGTCTTCAGCATCACTGTGACCCACACTAATGTAATGCATTAAAATAATATTTCATTTCCTGCTACCAGTGAGGCGATTAATTAGACTCCAAACTTTGCTGCTAAATTTAAAGCAGACTTACTGTCGTTCTTCTTCTTTCAACAAACAAGCCTTATTCCACAGAGGGAGGGTGGCCCAAAAGGAAAAATGAAAGTTTCTCCTTTCAAATTTAGTAATATATGCACAAGGGGTTACTAGCCCTTTGCTCCCAGCATTGTAGTCACCTCTTATGACACGCATGGCTTATGGAGGAAGATTTCTGTTCTACTTAACCATGGAGATAAGAGGAAATAAACAAGAACTAGCTAGAAAATAGAAGAAATCCCAGAGGGTCATGTGTATATATATGCTTGTACATGCACGTGCAGTGTGACCTAAGTGTAAGTAGAAGGAGCAAGACATACCTGAAAACGTGCATGTTTATGAGATAGAAAAAAGACACCAGGAATCCTGCCATCATGTTAAACAATTACAGGTTCTCGTTTTACACTCACTTGGCAGGATGGTAGTACACCCTGGATGGTTGCTGTCTACCAACCTACTACATAGGAGACTTCCTGTTGTGATGTAATTTCCTCCTCTTGGTCCTTTATAATGAAATGCTTGGCTCTAAAATTTCCTTGTACCTCTCACCAGCTTTAAGGGTCAGAACCTCACATTGTCTTTGAACCTTCAAATACCTCGCTTTTATATACGTATTTTATACTCTAAAGCTAGTTGATACAATATTTTAAGACTAGAAGGATCATCTAGTTAACTGGAACTGTATTACTGTTAAAATAAGTTCTTCAAAGGGTAGACAAAGAAAAATGTGGTGTACATTACATATTGTAATGTAAGCCCCACTGAGGAAGAAAAGTAGAGATATGTGTTATGCAGAAATGTGGGATGGCTGGGAACTTGAGCCTGGTCTAAGGGCAAAGGTAAAAGTTACACACATCTTAAGCCCAAACCAGCCACCCAGGGCTATCCCAGTCAAAACAGAAAGCGCTAAACTGGTATGTGTAACTTCAAGGGGTTGGGTAACAGAGGGTTAGGCAAAAATCCCAATTAGGAAAATATATCTATTTAATCACCATAACATAACATAACAGAAAACCTTAATCGTAAATGCCCAAATGAGGGTACACACAACAGCTGGCTGGAGGTTCAGCCACCATAACCACTAGGCTTCGTCAGCGTCAGGCCGTCATTACACTACAAACCTCATTTCTTACTTCATCACTCATCCCACAGCACCCTGACCATGTCAGAGCCTGGGTGAACATACAGGTAAGCCATATGAGAGCCTGTGGCTTGAGTTGGATAAACAAAATGAGTGTACAACTACAAACTTATCTTAAATACACAGCATCTCCGACGCCAGCCTCTACACACCATGCTCACGTCACGTGACTCCCCCCCCACGCTTACTCTGCTTACCCAAACATCCTTGGAAAATAAATCATTAACAGAATTTCTTTATAATTACAGTTAGAGTACTTTACAGTACCCCCAAAAGCACATTATGAATTATAAAATTATTCTTTACAATTATAACATTCATATTATTATCGCACACTTCTCCACTATATGTACATTACGATGTCATGCAGAACCCTGCATAACAATATGTATTAGTCTATATGTTGTTGCAGGTGTTGAATTCTAGCTCCTGATCCTGCCTTTCAACTTGCTTGCCAGATTCACTCTTTCCTAGCCTCTTGGACTCTGTCATACCTTCTCTTTAAATTGTGGATTGATCCTGCCTGCATCACTCCTGTGTCTAGGTTATTCCACTTCTTGACATCTTTGTGGTTCAGCTGTCTTTAACCTCCATCTGTCCCCCCCCCCTCACTACCTATTTCCCATCTCTCAAACAGGCTATCCCCTTCTACCCTATTAGTTCCTCTGAATATTGTGCATGTTATCATGTCATCCCTGGTGTTTCTGTCCTCCAGTGCCGTTATATTCAATTCCTTTATCCTCTCCTCAATATTCTGGGACTGTATGGAGGGGTAGGTGTTTTAGCTCTTATGAGTGTAAGGATAAATATAATGAGTAATAATGAGGTTGATATCAGTGGGAAGGGTGGTCCAAAAAATAAACACTTTCATCATCATTCACACTATCACTGTCTTGCTAGAGGTGCACAGGTACAACAGTTCAGATGTCCCTCCAAACAGCAAATATCCCAAACCCCTCCTTTAGAGTGCAGGCATTGTAGTTTTCACCTCCAGGACTCAAGTCCGGGCAACCGATTTCCCTGAATCTCTTGCAAAATATTCACGGATATTCTAATTGATTCCATGGGCTAGCACTAGGCTGTTTGACTTCACTTTAATTCTTCTTCTTATTGGTTCCATGGGTTAACCTTTTGTTTGATTCTATATGTTACTGTGTGTTTTTTGGCTTCCCTCACATTCTTATTACTGATTCCATGGGTTGGCATTTTTATATTTCACTATCCTTAAAAATCTTGTTAGTACTGATTCTATCGTTTACTATTTGTGTGTTTGATTATCCCTAAATTCTTGTTAGTATCGATTCCATGGGTTGCCATTTGTTACTGTGTAAATCTTCTAAACATTAGTTTTTTTTTCAGGATTGAAGATGTGGAGCAGACGATGGCAGATAAGGACGCTTTGTATGAGGACGAAATGCTGAGAAAGCAAGGCACACTTGACCAGTATATGAAACTCAATGATTTCCTCTACACAAAGATAGACAGTAAAAAGAAAAAGGTCTGTTACTTTCTATGAGATTATTTGTTGTCTTTATCTTATTTAATTGTTGCAAAATGTTTTAACTTATTGCAGTTTTTTTTAAAGTTCTTAAAATATTTATAACTGCATTTTTTTACATAGTACAACAATATTAGCAAATTTTTGCATAGGGGGATTTTTGGCAGTTAAAATATCTAGTGATAAACCGTGAGAACACATTGGCATGTTTTTTTCAACACTCCGGCAATCGTCCACTGAGGCAGGGTGACCTAAAACGAAAAATGAAAGATGGACCATATATTGCATTTGAATAGAAAACATTTACTTAATGCAGCTTTTGTTGAAGTACAAAAATTCTTGTGTGTGGTAAGAAACCTCATAAAGGAATGCTCATTCTTTCACTAATGTCAGAATAGTTTTGGTGACACATGAACTTTTGGTTATATGCACAACTAACCTGCGCCTATGTGTATGAAATTTAGGAGGATGTTTCGATCTGACTTGGACCATTAACTATCTACTGTGTGAATAGTTAATGGTCCAGATCAGATCGAAATGATGTAAGCTTCATTCTCCTAAGTGCGGGTTATTGGTGTTTTTTTTACCGGTCACGGTACTGTGTCTTTTTATTCTTTACAGTTGGTTCAGTATACATCAGCCAGTGGTGTAAACTTGGGGAGGCATTTGTAGCCTAACTGAAGCCAGGGGGTAATAACATCCAAGAGTCGTACACATGTGACTGCATGTATCTGGGTAAATAGATTAATTAGTGGCAATAACAACTTTTTCTTCAGTTCTTTGAGGCTCATCTGTGTTTCTTATGTTCTCAATCATCCATTCCATTCCATATAGAGCAGTTTCTATTTAGCAAGTTACAGGTGTCCCATAAGAGTTCAGTATATCTTATGTACCAAGTCAGGGGTACATAATTTATTGTACCTTGTTTGTTTACAGGTTTATAGGTTTTCCCTAATGTTCCGTGTCTGGCTAGTGACTAGAGAATATCTGACATGCTTTTCTTTGAACCCGTTGTTGTGACTCACTTCAGGCTAGCTACACAAGCTTGTTAAGGTTTTAATTAGATCAAATTTGATGCAGTTTATTTTTATAAATATTAAATGTTACCTCTAGTCTGCATTGAATAAATCTCTTCAATATGTGGATACAGTACAGTGTAGCCCAAAATTCATAAGGTTACGTTCCTAGAGTTTCACCAAATCTAGCCATACCACAGACCTGTCTACTAAGTTCTCTCTCTCACATACATATCATCACTTTTCCTACCTGCTAGATACTCAGCCTCTACTATTTACCACAGAACCTCCTTTACCCCTGCCCTTCGACTTGTCTAGGAATGACCCTTATGCCTCCTTCCCTCCACTTCAGATTTATATACCCTCTTTGCCATCCTGTTGTGATCTATCCTTTTTCACTGTCCAAGCCCTTTCAGTAACCACTCATCTGCTCTTTGACTTTTGTCCATTACCCCCTTACATGACAATAACATTTTTTTTAATTTCTGTGCTCCAAATTCTCTGCCTTATATTACACTGTATTTACTCCACACATTGCTCTAAAAAAATGACATCAGTCACTTTGCCTTGCTTCCCTCGTTTATTCTATGGTTTATCTCGTCTTTTGTATTTCCACCTACCACCATGCCTGCTCCCAAGTATCTTAATAGATTTACTTCTTCCATACTCGTTCTCTCCAATCAGATTTTAATAATCTTGTTTATAATGTTTTTCCATGTAAGTTGAGTGCTCATTTATTAGGCATTTGCTACTGAGTGAATTTATCCAAAATTAATGATACTGCAGGTGGTTTTAACCCTTTGACTGTTTGGGTCATATATATACGTCTTACGAGCCACCGTTTTTGACGTATATATACTCATAAATTCTTGTGGCTTCAAATCAAGCAGGAAAAAGCTGGTAGGCCCACATGTGAGAGAATGGGTCTGTTTGGTCAGTGTACACCATATAAAAAAAATCCTGCAGCACACAGTGCATAATGAGAAAAAAAAGACTCCAACAGTTTTTTTTTTAATTAAAATACCAACTTTGTGGTCTATTTTCATATAATATTTATGGTTGTATTCTCGTTTTCTTGATCTCATTTGATAGAATGGAAAACATATTATAGAAATAGAGGTAATTTTGATTGGTTTTACTATAAAAAGAACCTCGAAATGGAGCTCAAAGTAGGGGAAATGTTTGATTTTTGCCGATGTTCAAAAGTAAACAAATGATGTCATTTTCCAATAAATGTCCAACTAGCCATTCTAATATGCAGTCACGAATGGGTTGACATTATTTATACAATTATTACAATATTGCAGTAGTCTGCATAACAGTAAATCTTCTATTTTTTGTTTGAATAAAAACTCAAAATAGAAAGCAAGAGTAATATCAGAGGGGCCTGGAGACGTGACTGATGAACAAAGAAAATGTTATTTTAGAGCCAGGAATATCTGCATTGTTCATTCTGGACCCCTATTTTGAAACTCATATTTTTTAATTTTCGTGAAATTGGCCAAATTGCAAATTTCTGACCACGTTATTGGGTTGTTGAAATAAGTAAATGGGCAGTTTCTTGTACTCAATCGATAGAAAAAATGGAGTTCTAAAGAAATGTCAGCAGTTGGCCTAATAAGGATCATCTATATAAAACACATGGATGGTACTATGATACACAGCTAAGCTATACAACACATGTAAGGGGGGATCAGTAATTATGCTGACAGATATAGCTGTGAGTTTGGTTGACTGGAACAGTGGAATTAGCCGAAAGTGGGGCTCAAAGTGGGCGAAATCGCCAATTCATAAATATTGCTGAGGTCGCTAACTTCGCGAGAGCGTAATTCCATCAGTTTTCCATCAAATTTCATTTCTTTAGTGTCATTACAATCGGGAAAAGATTCTCTATCATTTCATAAGAATTTTTTTTTTTTTTTTTTGGAAATTTTGCGACACCAGGAGACACCTCAGGATTTGGGATTGCAACAGCCAAGGGGTTAATGGAAAAATCAGACGACCTCAAACGTCAGGAGATATCTCTGACTCATCTGTGATTTATTTTGTGAAGTGGGGACCCTGTGCTTGACTGCTCATACCATTGTATGTCTAGCATTTTTGACCATTTAAGGATATGGTTGAAACACACTTACTCTGGTTTAACAGCAAAGTAGTCTTGAGTAATTTTCAATCATAATATATATTGCTTAGTTTATGGAGTTTGGTGATCTTTCCAGCTTTTAAAAATTCAATGAGTTCACAAAGAAAATATACAGCCAAAAACAGGTGATGCATCCATCTACCTCACGTGGTCTATGGTAATGTCACCAGACCCCTGTAAGTGTTGGCTCATAAATACTGTTTTGCTTCTTACGCTAAGTGGGTTACTTGTCCTTGCTGGGGACCACCAGGATTATTTTTTATTAACACTGGCCGTTTCCCACCGAGGCAGGGTGACTTGAAAAATAAGACTCCAGCTTTATGTTGCACATAAAATAATGGCAGTAAAGTGGGTGACCTTATTTACCCTTGGAAGTACAAAAAAGATGTAAATAAAATTGGGCATCCCTTACCTTATATACTCTACTTTCACTTTTTTTTTTTAATAAATGTTATTTTTCTATTCTATGCCTTTCTTTTTTTTTCCTCTACTTGTCAAAGACTTGCTTGTTTTAAAATAGGTCTGATGCAATGATACGGGATGTCTTTCAAGTGAGCAAGTTTTGTGACTGGAAGAACATGTTAAACTACAGTAGGCATCATTTGTAATGTATAAATTAATTACTCGTTTGACAAAGCTTGAAATTTACAAGGTTATACAAATTAAATAAGCTCATAAAATTTTGCTGTGAAACAGAAATTTGTCTATTCATGATCCTGGTTCCATTCTGAGGCTGCTCATACTATGCTCTAACTCACTTTCCCTACAAGGAATGACACCTGGAGTACACCTGGAGGGTGTTCCAGGGGTCACTGCCTCCATAACCTGTTCCATGATGCTCCATGATACTCCTAATTCCTTTTTTTTGTGTGTGTGTGGGATCTCCTGTACTATTTTGGTATTCAGTTACTTTTTTTTCACCAATTTTGTGACTTTCTGCACTACAAGAATGTACGGTACAGTAGTTACGTTATTATTACTCTTGTAGAGTACTGTGGCAGCAACAATTCACAGCTATAACATGGGAGTTAAATCTTAAGATGATATTTTGGTTCATGTCTTTATAATGGTTCATAAGAGAATGAAATACCTTCTAAAAATTTATCTACAATTTGTGGGTTAGTAATGATAGTAGAATTACCAACAAAATGTTAGCTGAAAGGATGCTGATGCAACTAATGTGACATTTTATTGTGGCAACATTTCACTTTCCAGGAGCTTTGACAAAACTTCTGGAGAGTGAAATGTCGTCACAATAAAATGTCACATTGGTTGCATCTGCGTCCCTTTGCCTAACAATTTGTGGGTTAATTGTGATTATGGTAACCTTGTTTTATACTGTTTTTCATTAAGAAGTTTCACTGAAATTCTTGGTATGGTAAGCTGCTGCTGCTGTTGCTGCTTGATCACAATAGTGCTCAAATAATTATTAGAACAAAGCTGTTTTCTAGGTTACTACTCCAGTGAGAGAATTTTTTTTTTTCAGAATCTTCAGCTCGGCTCATTCACTAACACATTTGCAGTCTGTGCAAAAAGTGATCCCTGACTACACTACTGCATGTTTGCTGACTTCTTGCTTGTCACTATTTACCTCACTGCTGACTGGCACTTACTAACTGCGTGTTTCACTGACTTCCTGTGAACTTGTGAGGACTGTGTTTAACTTTTGGCATAGGTTGCTCTGGATCTTGATACGCAGATTTTCCTCATATTGGAGAAAGAAATTCGTGACAACATTTCAGTCCCACATGGACCATTAACCAAAATTTTGTCATAAGTTTGTTTCTCCTATGTGCGGTTATTTGGTATTGTTCCGCATGGTATTGTATCTTTGTGACTTT